TTTAGACAAACACTTTATTTTTTATCCACAACGAGGAAGCTTTTGGCTTGTATCTCACCTGATAGTAACTGATGATCAGGCCGAAGGTGGAAGCGAGCTTCACCCGGAATCATAAATAAATATCCTGGGACATTTTACACTGTGCCTCTAGTCCCAAACTATGCAAAAATTTTAGGTATTATGGGTACTAGATAACGGATATAAACTTGCTTAAATATTTTCACTGTAAATTAATTGTAAATAATTTTGCTACCTAGTTCTGCTTAAAAAATATAAAGTTAACGAACAAAGTAATAAACACAATTCGTCCTTTTTGCATTTGGACCTATTCGCAGATGATCAAACTTTCTCAACTGAAAGCAGCAGCCAAAAATAAACTTGGACATTTTATACTGCGCCTCTAGTCCCAAACTAAGCAAAACTTGTTGGTATTAGATAGAAAACACCACGTATTTACGGTTTTAAATGTACAAATGAATGTTCTACATTTAGGGCTCCGGCCAAATTAAGCACTGAGTCCGGCTTTTGTCTTTTTGGACTTAGCAACCCATGTTAAGCTAGAGACCTTTTTGTCACACTTTTTGCTTTCGTTCCCTTTTTTAATCTACTTTTTATGGAAATTGTATAGTATTTCACACTTTTTACCTCTTCTTTTTTTACTTTAATGATAAGAATATTCCGTGTCCCAAATAAAACGTGTCCATCTCCATTGCAGCAACAAGAAGGCGATCCTCAAGGACGAGTCTCGCCTCACCAAGCAGTCCACCAAACCCGTCATGCCTCGTACAAGCCGCGCTCGCGCCCGCGACCGCTCCACCGGGAAACTCAGGGAAGAGATGGAGAAACTCGGTGAGTACATAGAACCTTTATCTCCGGGCCATTTTTTAGATGAATGGGCTTATCGATTAAATGGCGCGATAAAAGCTCATCGCGGCGCACATCTATACAGGCCTATAGGTGGTGAGAATTGCTGTCGGATATAAACAGGTCATCAAGATACGCCAGTTCGATACCTTGCAAGCTGGAACCTGATCTAAACCGCTGAAAGGTGCGTTCTTCATGCCAAAAGGCATTCGGGTAAGACGGTAAGTGCCGAGCAGTGTGACAAAAGCTGTTTTTTCTCTGTCTTCCTTGGATACGGTCATCTGCCAGTACCCCGATCTTAGGTCAATGTCCAAGATCAAAACAAACTGGGAGATGATGGAGAAACTCGGTCAATGCATTATAGTTCATAATCGTATAGCCTTAAGGACGAGTCTCGCCTGACTAAGCAGTCACCGCTCCAATAAGAAACTCAAAGAATAGATGGAGAAACTTGGTGAGTACATAATTATAACCTTTTATTACAGGTCTTCTATCGCCATGATAAAATCGTGTCGATGATTTTAGACGACAAACGTATGGGCTTATCGCGAAAAATCTGTAAAATAAAAGCTCATCCTAGGCCTATAGATCCACTGGGAAACTCCGGGAAGAGATGGAGGAACTCTGTCAGTACATAGTACCTTTTGAAGGCCTTCCAGCTCGTTTTAGTAGGTGTTGGATATGAATAGATCATCAAGATACGCCAATCCGATACCTTGTATGCTGGAATGTGATCGAAACAGATCCATCAACCGCTTTAATGTCGATGGCGTGTTCTTCAGGCCAAAAGGCATGTAGGTAAAACAGTAAGTGCCGAGCAGTGTGACAAAAGCTGTTTTGTCTCTGTCTTCCTTGGATACGGTCATCTGCCAGTACCCAGATCTTAGGTCAATGTCAATCGATACATAAACTATGGGAGGAGATGGAGAAACTCGGTCAATACATTATAGATCATAATTGTATAGCCTTAAGGACGAGTCTAGCATCATGAAGCAGTTCACTGCTCCACCGGTAAGCTTACGGAAGTGATGGAGAAACTTGGTCTATACATTATACATCAATACTCCATCATATCGCCCCAAACACCATCAAAGTTTTTTGCTAATATTTTAAACAGGAAAGATTTTGAGGATGAATGGTTACTTGGCCCGATCGAAGCTGAGCAAGGCTCGTGCCTTGCGTCAGTCAAAGCGCGGCCTACAGCAGGCATTATGGTCGCATGATGTGTTATTGATACGTAATCGTGCATTACCCATGTCAAGAACAAACCCATTTTAACATCTCTAATTGTTGTAAGACTAAATAAGACGTAAATAAATTCATTCTTTAAAAATAGACGTGCTATAAACAGTACACAGGCGTATGTTAAATATGTGTTTTTTTTTTCATATACCCCGAAACCTTGGGGTTGAAAATTGGGGGATGCTTATGTTCAACAGAAGGCGTCCTATGGCTGAGATGATGATGATGATGACCCGGAAACTATGAAATGAGGGTTTTCGCGAATGAAAGATCCGCTAGATGGCGGGAAGTGGATGTGGGGTCTGACTGCTGCGTGATTGGTGGATTTTGACATATCTGTCAATGTCATGTCAAAAATAACCAATCATGCAGCATTTGGACCTCGCGTCTACGTATTGCCATCTGGCGGATTTTTCATTCGCGAAAACCCTCATTGAAACAAATAAAAATACAAATTATCGCGTCGTGGTTATCGCAGAAAAGTGAATATAATTGCTGTAAAATGTTCGTTTTATTTTACTAATCGCCCCATTTCACCCCCAGGCGTGGACATGTCAGAGACGAAAGAAGCGAACTTCACTAAGACAAGGTCACGCTCGCGCTCGCAATCGGCCGTCGCGGCGAAACGCGCAAGAATGGAATCAGAGTCGCGCACGCGTTCCGTCAGCCGCCCCGCGCGAGACGAACAGGGAGTCAAGCCTGGCGTTGTGAGTATACTTTTATACTTGGGGATAAAGAGGTATACTTAGGGATGAAATGTATACTTAGGGATAAAATTGTATACTTGGGGATAAAATACCTGTATTTACCATGTGACAAGCAAATAAATAAAGGGATATACTTTGGGGTAAATGGGATAACGCATCGTATTACAAAATTATGATACAGTATTTTGTTGTTGGTGTTCTGAATAAATTAAATTGAATAAAGGGAATGAATATATTTAGGGATAAGGGTGTATAATAAGGGATAAAAGGTATACTTACGGATAAAGGTGTATACTTGATGTGATTAACTAAGATGGAACTGTAGACTGCTATTGTGTATTGTTATCCCATCGGATAAAATGTATACGTTATAATATTCACATGCACTATTTGCATCGAGAACTAACATTCTCTGTGCAGTATTTAGTTTAGGAAATCAGAATCCTTCAAACGTTCCAGGCAACTCTTGTAACCCAAATTTTGATCCCCAGATGGCGAGAAAAGCCAAGAATATGGCTCACGTGGCGATTGCGAAGAAAACCAAGAAAATGGGTCTCAAAGGAGAGGCCGACCGCTTTATCGGGACCAAGATGCCCAAGCATCTGTTTGCGGGCAAACGCGGCGTCGGCAAGACGGACCGACGATAATTTGGAAAATATACACGGATGTAAACTTACGTATACATGTAGGAACCCAAATAAAGTCGGCAGTTTGGGAACTATACGTGCATATACATACAGTACATCTAGCACGAACAATTTGCTTCTTCGAATCGTTTGCGTATTCGACGCAATTCGATACCCAGCCTTCGAATACAACGGTAAAGTGACGAGCTCGATTGTCGTAATTAGTTTCGTGCTACCATTACACATCAAGTTTTCATACTAAAACTTTCGATAGCAATTCGAATTCGCAAACTATTCGAAGTCGAAAGTTTTTCGTGCTAGATGTACCGATACACAAATTACGTCAGCAGTTTGGGAAACATACTTATACAGATGCCCAAATGATAAAGAAAAAGTTAGTTTGGAGAACTGTTCAGGAGATGAAGATTGGGAGATTATTGACGGATATAACGGATATTTTTTATTTTTATGTTATTTTCAAGTACCTTACCACAGTTACTGTACCAAAATGAAGGACCACTTTTAATGAATTTTCTTCAGTTCCTTTAAAGATTGAAGTTGTGTATTTTTAATTAAACAATACAATAATGACAGTTAATTTTGCAGTATTGAAATAAGTTTCCTCAGTTTTGGGCAATTTATTTACGTTATAAATATATTTTGATATATTCGTCATGTAATTTAATTTCAAATGGGAAAAATAAAGAAGATTATTAAGACAATATTCAGTTATTTATCTTTGTGAAAGAACTACACACATGATTAAAAAGTAATTGATTTACGTTCTGTAAGTTTTATCAATTGATATTTTGTTTAAAAGGAGTTTATCAATTGATATTTTGTTTAAAAGGAGTTTTCTGTAAACATCTTTATTTATTAAGTGAAATAAAAAGTTGTATAAATGATATCTTTGGTTTTATTTTTGTTACATTCTGTTTTGTAGCTTACAGAAATAGGTACCAAAGCGTTTACATGACTTTAGTCACATTAATTACAATAATAAAATTATAAGTTTAATGAAATTACAAGTACGATGTATTAATTTAAAATTTTTGCCGAACTAGAGATGATAGCGTCATTATACTTATATTATCTATGTAGGTATATGTGTAGTAGTAGCCTTTCCTACTCAGTGAACCGATGACCCGGTGCAGCGCAGGATCTATCGTGGATGTTCTTTGTCCAGCAGGGGACATCTTTTAGTTTATCTCTAATCCACCATTTACACAAAATAAGTAAAGATTTCGCGACTTATGTATGGCGTTTTTAAGTGTGTGGTCGCTGCATTCAGCTTCTAAAGCGACTCGCCGATGCTAAAAGTATTAGCATGCATGCTTATGGATTAAAATCTTGCAAAAATCCAGGGTGAGACGTCCACCCACAAGGTGGACCGATGACATCATAAAGGTAGCAGGGAAGCGCTGGACGCAGGCCGCTACCAATCGATCAACGTGGAAAGCATTGGGGGAGGCCTATGTTCAGCAGTGGACGTCCTGTGGCTGAAATGATGATGATGAAAAATCCAGCACCTACAAGGCGCGGATCCCACATATTGAAAATATGGCGCTCAAACTTTCTCGTAATTCGTAATTTAGAGCATAAGTATCTTCAAAAGTGGTGATAACCAGTTATCGGATGCATATTCCGGGATTACTTTAATCCCGCGAGATTGAATGAGCTGCGGAATTGAATGAGGTCTATCGTTTTTATACTTAACAGTTGGCACCCCTGATGATTGACAGGACCTTACTCTACAGTGGCGCCATCTTGATGAGTGCAAATGCGATAGTCCTCCTACCACTTTCGCGCTCACCAGTTGGTGCCACTGTCTTCGCTACTAGCAAGTGACAGGACCTTACTCTACAGTGGCGCTAAGTGGTGAGCGCTAAAACGATAGCCCTCATTGAATGCGTGATGTGGCTTTAAATAAAACTTATAACACTAAAAATCGATGTAGGTGTTGTTGTCAATCGCCTGACGTATCCAGCGCTTGACGCGCGACACTCGCGTATAGACCCCGGGCAGCAGGCCGCAGCCCCAAAATGTGGAGCCTACGCCCACTATGGAGTTGTTTACCACCACTGGGCCGCCTTCGTCGCACTGGGGATAGAGGAGCATAGTATAAAAATGTAAAGTACTTACCTACATAAAACGAGTAACGCCCGTATCACAAACATTACTATGAGGTCTCACAGTGCGTGTGAACGCACACGGTGACACACGAACCAATCACAGAGCTCGTATTCAACGCTGTGCGTTTACTTATATAAGCAAGCATCGTTTGTGAATGCAGACGTACCTAATAATAATTTATTAACAAGTGGCAAGTTGGAAATGTTTTTGTAACATATAGAAAAAACTTGTATTTTTACTTAGTTAGTAGCATGGACCTATAAAAAAAGGCGGACGGAACTCGCGCTATAGTTCCAAAATACTGAACTGTCCTGTGCATGACATTGACAGTGGGGCGCCACCATGAAGCTAAAGATAAAAATGGAGGCCAGACTTAGAATACCTACTTGAAGCACAACCTATGTATCACTATCTCGCTCTCTGTGGGCAGGCTCTCTCTTTCTAAGTAGGGTAACCTTTTATTTATTTTTCTCAGGACGACAAAGACTGATTTACGTTTAAACAGTGTGTCTTGATAAAGTGCACTTAATATGATTATGAAAAAAGGTTTTCGATGTTTTTGTTTTAAGATGAATTACAACATTAAGAAAGTGTAAAGGCATCGAAAACTGTGGATATTTGATAGAAAACAGATTTTAATTTGGCAGTTGACAGACGGATTTGGATATGGATTGATTACAGTAAACGGCCGTAGAAAACATTATGCAAAATTAGATAAGTAAGGTCCCACAGAAAGTCCCAGATATATCCTCAATATGGTCATACTACTTCAAAATGTCTTATAGAAACAAAAATTTTAAATTTGCTCAAAGTCAATGAAACTCAATGTAAAATCTTCTTTTTCTTGACATATGTAACATTTAATAATAAGTTTAAATACTGGTAAAACGTTTTAGGTCTAAAATCTGAAAAAATCGATGACGTAATTTATGGACGGCCCCTAATCAGCTTTCTACCCGACTGCGCCAGAAGGAGGGTTATTGTGTTCACAGCGATCATGTGTCTAGGACGCATAGTTTCCGAGATGTAAGCGAAAAACCGAAACATAAAGTTACGAGGACAAAAAATATGTTCCACGCCTTTCCCTCTTTAACTTACTTATCTCTTCGTTTGACTGTCATTTAATAACTATTGCTAAAGCCTGGTCCGTGAGCACGTAGAATTTTGTCCAATGACCCCAAGCTACCCATCCTTATCGCTCGCGCGTAATTTATTATAATGCTGTCGCGACTGTGCGTTGGGCCACAGAATAATAATAAGTACTACGTACAGAAGTTTTACTTCGCGTAGGTATTTAAAAAAGTGTATGCTCAATGTCATTAACAATATGGTGTAATTTAGCCTGTCTCAAGAGTCAAGCACCATTTTGTTGACAAACGTCAGTGATCGGCACTGCGCCGAAGCTATAGGGCTGACTTCGGTAAAATGATGTGACGTGAGGTGCCAAACTGCGGAAAATGGCGGAGGAAATACATGATTTAGCATGAATTATCATGAATAATATTAACTACTTATTTACCTCTCAGTGTCTTGAGGCAACTTAAAAAAGTACATTCTGCGTTTTTATTATTATTTAGGCAGTTAAATACTGCACAGCATTTAGTACACCATTTTCTTTATTTTCTTCCATCATACACAAGAAGCGTGCGTGAGTCAACGTTCGCTCGTATGTGAGGCCTTGTCGAATAGTATCCTGTAGGTGGGCCATCGTGCGTGTTTTGTTTTCGATGTAAACTCGCGGAGATGAACAGGCCTGGTTGGGCGCCCGCAGTGAGTGTGTGAGCGCGACAGCAACATAATTACGCGCGAGCGATAAGGATGGGTAGCTTGGGGTCATTGGACAAAATTCTACGTGCTCACGGACCAGGCTTTAGAGACGATGAACTCAGTCTCACCACAAAGTCCCCGGGCGGGACCCCTGCTATTTCCACGCACATATTCCGCGGGTGGATGATGCGCCCCAACAGAGCGCCCTGGCACCTCCTCGGCACCAGCACAGGAAGCGATGGAACCTCGTGGACTGCTCCTTTGGTTGAGTTCTGTAAATTCTGTAATGGGAAATATATTTTTAGTATGTAGGAGTATTAAACATACACAGTGTTGATGTAAACGCTTGTAAACGTAAACGATCAAAGCAGATAAAAATGTGATACTGAGCTTTTTATTATAGGTACCTACAGTTGATGGCAGTTTACTTTGTTGCAAAATTGAAAATAGCACCTAAAAACTATACAGGGTCTTGACACAGTCTTGATTTCAATCCTCGCCATATTTAGCGAGTTGATTAAGTAGCTTATTCTGATCACGAATCAGTAAAAAAATTGACTTCGAAAAAAAATTAAGTAAGCCCCTAGCTAACCTAACCAGTTTACATAGCAGTGGGGCCCCATTTTTACGCCACAGCTATAGATGTTCGGCTACTCGTACCATCAAAGCCGAGTATTTTTAAAATATCGTTTAGATTTTCAGACCCGGCATTGCAGGTTAATTGAATAATTACCTCTCCTACCCCCCATCCGATGATATCCACCAAATCGCCGATGATAACTTTCTTTCCAAGCTTGATTCGGTCAACTGTTGACCCAAAATCGATCTTCATGGCCAACTTCACCAGTCCAATGTTGTAATCGCCAACGAACGTCAAGTATTTTTCGTGCGGAATCAACTTTTCTATGGCATACAATTGGCCACCCTTGTCCAGGTACTTACTCCCTACTCGGGCTTTAGTCAGGTTTCTGGAAGAAGTTACCTTTTTATTAGTTACCCGCCTCCAATGCATGTCAATAACCTAATTTTTACAGAACTATTCCCACCTCTCGTTCCCACCGCTGCAATTCCTGTGTAGCCAGGATCTACCAATAAAAACCCAACCAGTGAAGGTCAAGTTTGTCCCGCGGGGTAAGTTGAACTGTTGAAAGTTGAAATTAATCAGAAGAACATTAGGAGGAGTTCACCTAACCTAATTTGGAGCGACAGCACAATGGAGTCGGTGTCGGTAGATCCGAGAAACGCGGGTTCGAACCGTGGTGAATCCACTTGTAATACAAGCCACGAGGGGTTAACAGGACTATTTTAATACGTAGGTAATTTGGTAATATTCTTTTAAAAAATGTAGGTAGGTAGGTACCTACTTTATAAACACAACGATAATTTTAATTATTGTTAGATAATACTAATTAATCTACTTACTCTATCGCATTGGGATAATAATAACTTGTGATGTTAGAGGTATGATCGCTAATGTAAATAAATGAAAAAAAAAGCGCTAAACTCAAGTCCAAATCGAACAAATTCGAGCCAAATATAAATAAAAAAGCCTAACTTAGATAACTACTATTTTTATTTTATTTTATTTTATTATTTTTTACTATTAATAGGGTTATACTTGTACATAATAGTACCCGACGGGTTAGCAAGCTGAAGTGGCAATGGGCAGGGCACATAGTACGGAGAACTGACAGCCGGTGGGGCAGCAAGGTTCTGAGTGGAAGCCGCGTACCAGAAAAAGCAGCATGGAACGTCATCCCACAAGGTGGACCGGCATCATAAAGGTAGCAGGAAGGCGCTGGACGCAGGTCGCTACCAACCGGGCGATGTAGAAATCATTGGGGGAGGCCTATGTTCAGCAGTGAACGTCCTATGGCTGAAATGAAGACATAATAGTGTACTCACGCAAGATTCCCTTTCCAGTCCAGCACTAGACTACTGGCAGCGGTCAGTAGGAACCGCTTGTGTATCACGCTGGCCAGACACGCTCCTCGCGGGCATTCGTGCAGCGAAGCCATGTATGGAACCCGCTTGATTGATATCGGCTTTGCGATGTATCTTGGAGGGCTGGGTGTGGACGTTGTGGCTTGGAAAGGAGTAGAAAATATGAAGTTCTGGCTTTTTTCAGTGGGAAGCAAAAGGGGTCTGACAAAATGTTTAGGTATTTCGCAAAATGCGCACTTTTCTATACATTATTAATCTGTGATAATACTAAAAAGGCTGAACAATAAACATAGTATCTTTAGGTATGAGGGGTGTTCAAAATAATGAGATTGGGATATTTCTAGCTATTACAAAAATCTGAAAAAAATTGGGCAGGTAACTTAACGACGACTGTGTTGATGTAATTCTTAAACGCAATGGTGAACTTCAATGAATTTTTTTACAAGTTTCTAGTGAAGAATTAAGCTACCTGACCAAATTTTTTCCGATTTTTGTGATGGCTAGAAATATTCGATTCTCATTACTTTCTGAACACCCCTCATATGTACCTATTAATTAATTTGGGCAAAAACTGAAGTGACCACAATCTCTAATCAAAATAATTAGGCATGATTTCCACCAAGGCGGAACGGGGAGAAGTGGCTTTGGTGGAAACCGAGCCTCACATCAGTCTGCTATACGAACATCTCCGAGTTTATGTAATGGCTGGAGAATTTAAATGGAGTGTGCATGACAAGGATTTATATGGACCGTTCCCTAAAGCACAAAATGTCCTGATGGTTCGAAGTGCGCTCTACACTACGAGTATAAGGCATTCCCTGTTAAAACTCTTATAACTCATTTATTTTACCTAGTAGGCTTTTAAAAAGCACTTTTACACGCCCCAATATTTTCTCTACCACTGATTTGGTACAATAAATGGGCCAGTGCTGAGAAGCAGCAGCGCAAGAAACGAAATAAATTAATATAGGGTAACATGATCTAAAGTTTAGTAAAAAAACAGTAAAGTAACTTACTAGTCCCAGCAACATGATGAATCGAAATACAAATCAGTGCAAAAATGCACAAATTGCGTACGCGCACAGACATGGCTGCAACCGATACTCGCACCAGCACCAGTTCTGTTGTTGTCCCGTTGTTAATGATCTCTCTTATCAAGTTGCGATTGAATATGTTATTAGTTTATTTTAATTAGCGTTACTCAGAAATGGCGTTGTTTTTTTGTGATAATGGAATGGACCAAAACATTTTAATTGTGGAGCTGATTCTGGTAACTACCTTCAATTTGAAATATTCTAAAGCCGGTAGCACAGTTGGCGAGATATTCCGAGTATTCACGAGAAAGGCCGAGAGCGAGAATATTCTTGCTCGTCACCTCTCGGGGTCACTCGGGTGTTGTACGGATTGTACCCTTGCTCTCGGGGTCACTCGGGTGTTGTTCGCTTGCTTTCGGGGTCATTCGGCGATTTTCGCTTGCTTTCGTTCCCTTGTCCTCCTGCGCAAAAATCCGACAAAGGAAGATCCTTATCTTCCGCGCGAGGCAAAACTAGTGTGATCCCCTGTACACTCCTGAGTCCTGTCTTTTACCTATGAGAGTGTCACTTGTGTCTTGATCATCCGCCGATCATAACCGCTTCGTTCGTTTCAGCCGAAAGACGTCCACTGCTGAACAAAGGCCTTCCCCAAGGTTTTCCACAAAGACCGGTCTTACGCCGCCCGCATCGAAGCACCTCCCGTGACCTTCACCAGATCGTCGGTCCACCTAGTGGGACGCCTGCCCACATAACGTCTTCCGGCACGTGGTCGCCACTCGCGACTTTTCCTGCCCCAGCGGCCATCAGCTCTAAGAGCTATGTGCCCCGCCCACTGCCACTTGATTTTAGGGATTCTGCGAGCTATGTCAATCACTTTGGTAACCGCTTCCGCCATTTTTTTAGTATTTACCTACATGTAATTTTTTTAAGAATTTATAGAACACCAACCCGAGATATTTTTGGCCGAGAATGGACGGGTGTACTCTAGGGAGTGTACATCCGCCATTATCTATACTTTACTAATATTATAAATGCGAAAGTAACTCTGTCCGTCTCTCTTTCACGCCTAAACCACTGAACCGATTTTAATGAAATTTGGCATAGAGATAGTTTGAGTCCCGGGAAAGGATATAGGATAGTTTTTATCCCGGTTTTTGAAACAGGGACGCGCGCGATAACGTTTTTCTGCGACAGACAAAATTCCACGCGGGTGAAGCCGCGGGCGGAAAGCTAGTTAGAGATACGTATTACTATAACATAATATTCCAAGGAAGAGCGATGTCTCCTGGCACAGGCTTCTTTAAGCTTAAAAGGAGGCATCGATCATTATTAATTATAAGCAATTCCGCTGGTAATGAAATAAAGATTTATTATTATTATTACTATATTAAAATATTAATTAGCACTTTCAGGATCAAAATAAAACACAAAATTAGCAAAATGAATGGCACATTTAATTAATATTATCATTTTTATAATTAGACCTTTCTTGTATTATAATCATTTTTAATCTATGCATTTGAACTGAAAAAAAAAACAAATGCTCTATGATACAGTGTCGGCTGCCGGTGTTGCCACCATAAGAGGGAAAAAAATAACAAAAAAGCCTCATTTTGTACACAATCTCCAGGACGTGTTTTAAACCTACCATTCATGTGGAAACTGAGCATTGCCTCAAATAAATTACGGATTTACAAGTACCGATTACAAAAAAATGATTCCTTAACATTTACGTAGTCTTACGTACAGACAACAAAAAAATAATAATTAATTAATAAGAAAAAAACTTAAGTTTAACCGCTAAATGGAAGAGAAGGTCAACTAATCTAACTAAAAGGGCATGAAGTAATGATTAAGTGACACTTATGAACTATTTTATAGAATACTAAAAAAATATTTGAACTTTTTTTCAATATGGACTTGTGCGGTGGCCGCCTGCGCCCGACACAGGCGGCCGTGTGTCAACTTGACGTATCAGTTGATATATTTGACAGGAGTGACGTAACAGCGCTGCGTGACATTTACGCCATGACACATAACGTCATCATGACGTCAACGCCTCCGCAGCGTTAAAAATTGTACAATTAAATGCATTTATATATTTTTATGTGAAAATATCTGTGTTAACATCAAATATACAAACCAATAGTCGGTCTACGACTGGATTTGAATTCGTGCTGGATCATTACAGTCAAAAACGGACCTTATCGCCTATATAATACAGGATAAATGAAACTAAATTACCTAAGATGGGCAATAGAACAACTAACAGCATCGTACTCGCTCGTAATGATATTACTAAAGTACGCATTGTAATTGTTTGGGGGAAGAAAACTTGGGCCGACTAAGAAATATACATCAGTATTTAGAAAACACTTACTTGGGTATTCTCCTAACGACAATTTTGTCCCTTTTTGTTAAGAAAAATGTTTATTTGATTGTCAAAACTGTTTATGTCAAAATTTCAATGTCTAAAAATTATTTTGTCAAAATAAAAGTTCTAAGTACTGATGTATACTTCCATAGCTGGATATATTTTCTACCCTCGACGATAGGAAATGTCAATGTACCCACAATCTTAACACTGTCATGAAACGAATCACTAAATAATTTATTACAAAATAATCATGTCAGCCAAATATTACGTTTTTAAATAACCAATTATTATATTGAGCTTCCGTTTTCTTCATTATTTACAATAGACTCGAATTATGCCTTTGTATTATCATTATGAATATGGAAAGACATAGCTGTAAACACTAGAAGCTACCGTTTGGTGTTGCCAGCAATTGGTAATTTCTACTAAAAGTGTATTTTTTATTTTACACTTTAAACGGCAACATTGTAAGAGTATTCGTATAGAACTAGGTCGGCTTATAATGTTTAAGCTAAGGACAATCGATATTAGGTTGTAATTCATCATTGAAAATATTAGCACATGCAAAATCATTATACATTTATTTAAATTCATGCATGCATGCGATTTTAATATTCCCATGATAAATTACAACCTGATATAAATTTTAAAACAAAAATATACCACGATTTCACATGTCGATCAGCTACCAAATAAATCTAAAATATATATTCATATAAAATAATACTAATAATAGCTTAGATCTCCCGGACCTAACGATAAAAATGTAGATTTGTCAAAAAAACAAACGAAAAATATATCAACGAATTTTCACTGGAGCTTCGGTACAAAATAGTGAAAAGAAATAATCTTAAGTACATCCTTAAGTTAGCAGCCACTTTCACTTATAATTCGATACAGAACGTTTTGTATTTGTGCAAACAACCACTGGTCAGAACAGTATAGCCAATATCATTTTAGGGTTGAATTTTGCAACTTGTTTTTTATTCAACTAGTTTTATTTTAATGGCGTAACTAGTTGCGATATTCTCTTTACTAGTCAATTTTTTAATGATGAGTGCGTAATCAAATTACGTTTAAAAATATTCGCACAGACACAAAACTGTATCGCTCGCATTCATAATCAGCAACGTCATTAAAAAGAAATCACATAATTATAGTATTTATGGCGATTCGCAATCCATTACCGAGTTTTTATTGTCAAGCTTGCGAGTAACGGAACGCATCTGTTTCGCGAACAGACCAATGTGGAGGCAAACGTTTGGTGATTTCATTTTATAAAAAATCAAAACTCAAACCCCCCGAAAATGGACTCAGAACCGACTTAGAACCTATGCTTATGGCAGCGAAAAAAAACTTCATTTAAAATCGTAATTAAAAATATCTTTTCTCATAGATCGAACTATAATATACCTATACATAAACGTATCTCTAAGGCTAATATTTTACAAAATTCTGGATTCCCATGTCTTTGGGTGAAGACATTTTTGTATCCTTTGAAAAATCTCATTTTTTTCTCCTTCACATTAATGGCGTCGTAGCGGTTTTTGTGGGCGTTTAACCTTTATAATTATAGAAAACTATAACCTATTCGCTAGTAATATACACACTTACGCACTATAAGTCCAAAATACTTTTACTACGCACTGTTCGTGGGGTCTCTTTGGATTGTCCGCGGGAGCCGCGATGAGACGCTGTCCTTTGATATGTAAATAATCATAACATCACCTTTTGTGGCTCCACTAGTTATTTAATCAATTAAAAAAATATTGGTCTTTGTCAATATGTAAATAAAAGTCAAGTTGCGATACATATACACTATTTTACTGTTTGCAACTAGTGGAGTCACAACTGGTCGAAAAATCAACTAGAAAATCAAAGTTAAAGGTGTTAATTTTTTTTATATTTAAAGCGTCTCGATTTCACCACTGGGTTTCGTTTATTATTAGAAGCCACGGCCCCTTGTGTGTCTATTTAACTATTCAAACTAGTTCACAGATTAAAATAACTAGTCAAATAGTAAAAAAGTTGTTTCTGTTGTCGATTCGTTTGTTGATATACAAAAACGTAACTCAAATGTTGATTTTGAAGTTGATGTATAAAAAATATGGTATATTTACCAAATAAAAATAAAATAAAAAAACTTAATAAAAGTTAAGTGTTCAAGTTACGCTTTTCTATATATATTTTTTAAATCGTTGTAGAAGTATGATAGCAATTATTTTAAATTGTTTCACTTTTACTAATCAGAAAAAGTAGTTCAGACATACGTATTTTTTTTTTATAAATAATATTTCATAAATTGGAAAATGTCGTAGTTGAAATAATTTTGTAAAAAATAATGTCACTATCATACTAATACAAAATATATTGATTATTAGTTCATTTCACATAATACTTTCAACAATATAAAAACGTCAGTACATAATTTTGAAACCAAACAAAAATGTATGATTGAATCACAACAACAACTACAATGTCACAGACATTCAAAATTGAACCTTCAGTTCATAGACACACGTTATAAGGTACAAAACACGTCGAATTTTAGAGAGAACACTGACCATTATGGCTTCGATATTGCATAGGGCTGTCCCTGTCATTGTAGAATGAAATTGAAATAGACTTGAAAATTGATTTTTACATAGTATATAGAAGTAAAATAATAATAATTAAAGTTAAAAACAATAAAATAAGAAAATGTAACTTTTTTCATCACCACTGCTTGTGTAGGCGTATATTTTATTATCATATAAAATAACAGAGACAGCCCTAACTGCCAACAAAGTATACGAGACTCGTTTTATAAAATCATACTCAAGTAAGAATCTAATACATTCCTCAATGTAAGCTTGAAATTGAATCGAGATTTGACTCAAATATTAAAATCCAACCAATCCCAGGAGTGAATATACTTTCTAGAATAGATCTTACGATTTCATGAAACTAGATTCATACTCGAGTACAACTTCATGAAACTGGTTTCATACTTGAGTACCACTCAATGATACTAGTTTCATACTTGAGTACCACTCAATGATACTAGTTTCACACTTGAGTACAACTCCATGATACTAGTTTCATACTTGAGAACCACTCAATGATACTAGTTTCATACTTTAGAACCACTCAATGATACTGGTTTCACACTTGAGTACAACCTCATGATACTAGTTTCATACTTGAGTACAACTTCATGATACTGGTTTCATACTTGAGTACCATTCAATGATACTAGTTTCACATCCGAGTCTCACTTCGCCAACCGAATCTTGAATCGTCGCCGCAATGGTCACGTGTACTCCCCGCGGGGCGTGCGGCCTACGTGCAGCGGGGCATAGGCGGGGCGTGCGCGGGGCGTGAACATGTTCGCTATTGCTGCGGCCCGCCCGTGGGCGGCTGACCTGGTAGCTGACCCATGCCCTGGAAACAAAACAGGTAAGAAATGTTATTGGACTCGTAAAAAAACTCATTTATTTTTGCAAATAGGCTTTTAATAAAATTGAACTAAAAAGATAAAAACAAGACAACTTAGTGTTCACAAATGCAGTCGGAGGCATCAAATACATCACCAACAAAAGAATTAGTCATTGATGCCTCCGAGTGCATTTGTGAACACTAAGCCCCAGAACAGACGGTGAAACGCAACTGCAACGAAACTGCAACTGCTAGTTACTTTTGAGTTGCATCTAAGTTTCTGCCATAGCGTCCGTTGAGAGACCACACATGACGCGACCAGTTTGAAACTTTCAGTTTCAGTTTCATTCATAATAATCATCAGAAAGTTGCAGTTTCGTTGCAGTTGCGTTTCACCGTCTGTTCTGGGCCTAAGTTGTCTTGTTTTTATCTTCTTAGTTCAATTTTACGCAGTTGGTTTTTTTTGTTTATTCAATAATATTTTTATTTGAATTTTTTTAGTTAAATAACATACATTTTGTAACCTACTTAAAAGTCCTAACCTAAAGTGCAAGAAGAAATTTATCCTGCTAGCTTTAGACCCGATTCGACCAAACTTTTATCCGAGAATAACTCCTGGTATAACTGTCAAAACTGACAATTTATTCTGAGATTAATATTTGCTCTTGTTCGGTCGAATCCACCCTTAGTAACCTTACAGTACAGAAGTAGGTAAACAATCTCTATGCATGCAAAAGTTAAGCTTGTATGTATTACCATCCATCAGACGCCACATACCGTGTTGGCATTGTGGCACACCAATGGTAAATTTAATGTATCCCCTGAGCGAAGTTGCAGACCTATACCCGAGGTAAGCAACGTGTATCTTAGGGAAAACTACAGCATATTGTATAGATCGTTTCATCCACGAAGACGCGCCCCAGCAATGTTTGGTCTCGGTCGCGCGGGGTGCGGGGAGTTTGATCCGAGCAATCCGAGCGTCATTATTGTAGTGTGCTTGTGCACTCATGGATGTTTTGACGTGTACCGATAACACTCAAACATTAGCGGAAGAATGATGGGTCGCGCGTCTTCGTGGATGAAACGATCTGTATTAGGCAAATACTTGCGGTAGCTTGTAAACAAATAAAGCTTCATTACGAGTACAGTTCTTGCAACTCACGATAGCAAGTGAGGTTTACTTGTGTGTGTACGTGTACATGCACATAACGATAGTGTAATGTCTGTCAAAACTTTTGAAAAACGAACAGTAGCGAGCCACCACACATGTAAAGCTCACTCGCCTTCGTGAATTGCAACAACTATACATCATGCGTGTTCCATACCTACATGTTTGTCACCGTAAAATTGTGATTACAATCTGACGGATAAATTTCTTTTGCACAAATTACTAATAGTCCCTTTAGCCCCTTGTACTAAGCTAAACGTGGGACGTCCACCCACAAGGTGGATCGACGACATCGTAAAGGTAGCAGGAAGGCGCTGGACGCAGGCCGCTACCAATCGATCAACATGGAAAGCATTGGGGGAGGCCTATGTTCAGCGGTGGACGTCCTATGGCTAAAATGATGATGATGATGATGACTAAGCTAATGATGCTTGTGTCACGAGTGGGCTCATCACAATACTCAAGCGGCGGCGGGGTTCGAACCCGTTCCTCGGATGACTAGTCAATCAGTCCGACCCCTTCACCTAACTAACCTAACCCAGGGTTAGTTTACAATCTCACGCGTTATATTACAAACTAACGGAGTTCACAATTTCACGTTGACACATATACAGGGTGTCCCGTAATGTAACGTCAAGCCGGAACTGGGTGTTGAGGCAAGTTGTGCTGGTTATCAGAAAAATATAAAAAAAAAACTATGTGGCATATTTTAAAAATAATAGGCAATTAAAAAAAATAAAAAAATTCTACTCCAGGTGACGGTCCTTTTACTCGTGTTGCCACAAATCTTCACTTTTTCCAAATTTTTTTTTTGTTATGTAACCCTGAATAATGCTTCTCTAAATTGTTATCAAAATTACAAAACCAGCTGCTCCAACTTGGATGAAAAAAATACATTATTCCCAAAAAAAATATCAAAATAAAAATTTTACCTAGTTTAAACTGACTGTACTGAAAAAAAATTGTACTACGCAAGTGTGGCAAGTGACGTCATAATTTGGCGCATTCAGTAAGGATTCCAAAATGGTATAACACTTTGTAAAATCTTGCTGTAATTGTCGACAATTTTTGTTTATTGGAAATAATCCCGTTTTTAACTTTATCTACCTTGGTTAAAAATATTATTCTAATGTGCCGAAAATGCAAGTTTCTGGCTTAAGTGAGGTGGAGAAGACATTTTAAAAGGTATGAGCGGGACGGAGAGGGCCATCTTACCAAGCAGGGATGTTATGGATATCCGTAACCGTAACCGAAACTATCGGATATCCGAAATAAAAAATGTTCATAACCGTAACCGAAACTGATTCAAAAGTTACGGATAGTTTCGTATAAAGGCCAAACTGCAAAACTCTATGAAATCTGCAGTATCCACGCCGCAGCTGCAATGCCGCGCTGCCGATTTCATAGTTTTGCAGTTTGCGGTTGCAGTTTGCGGTTGCAGTTTGCGGTTGCAGTTTGCGGTCTGCGACCCGTCTTGGAATTGTACCTTAAATCTTAATATTTGTTACCAACTTGTCTGGCATTCGCTGGCACCATCTAATATGCCAGCCTGTTTTACCTTTATCATACATAGGTGTCGTCTTAGTTGGTACATAAAGTAGCTATGTGGGTCACGCTCACGCAGCATCTTGCTATTTGAATTATACCTACATTTTTGAAATTCTAATAATTCCATAACCGAAATTATCCGAGACTTTCGGATAATCTGAAATGATTTCATATCCGTGACCGTAACCGAAACCGGTGTAATATTATTCTAATATCCGTAACCGTATCCATAACCGAAACTTCATATCCTTTTTTATCCCTGTTACCAAGTATCTACAAGTGCAGGCAGAGCAGGTAGTAAAGGCGCGCGCGCACGGGTGACTTTTGTCACAGTATGTCAACTACTAATTACTGTCATGGTGACAAAAGTTTCTGTGACTGACTGTACGGTAGTCAGTCACAGAAACTTGAATTTTGGGCACATTAGAATAATAATTTTTAACCAAGGTAGATAAAGTTAAAAACGGGACTATTTCCAAAAAAAACAAAAATTGTCGACAATTACAGCAAAAATTTACCAAGTGTTATACCATTTTGAAATCCTTACTAAATGCGCCAAAATATGACGTCACTTGCCACACTCGCGTAGTACATTTTTTTTTCAGTACAGTCAGTTTAAACTAGGCAAAATTTTTATTTTGAAAATTTTTTTGGGAATAATGTATTTTTTTCATCCAAGCTGGAGCAGCTGGTTTTGTAATTTTGATAACAATTTAGAGAAGCATTATTTAGGGTTACATAACAAAAAAAAAATTTGGAAAAAGTGAAGATTTGTGGCAACACGAGCAAAAGGACCGTCACCTGGAGTAGAATTTTTAGATTTTTTTTAAATGCCTATTATTTTTAAAATACGCCACATAGATTTTTTTTTTTATTTTTCTGATAACCAGCACAACTTGCCTCAACACCCAGTTCCGGCTTGACGTTACATTACGGGACACCCTGTATACTGGCATGGGAAAATGAGCCTACAAACTGTGCACACAAGGTTCAAACTAGCTCATCAGCATGGGTTGGTAGTACGTGAGCGGCGCCAACAGCCATATTATGATTGGGGGCGTGTCTTCACCAATATTTTGCCTTGGGAAAATGAGCCTACAAGCAGTTTACAAAAGGTTCAAACTGGTACTGCGTGAGTGGCGCCAGTAGCCATATTAAGATTGGGGGCGTGTCTTCACCAATATTTTGCCATGGGAAAAAGATCCTACAGGGAAAAATGAGTCTACACACAATACACACAAGGTTCAAATTAGCTCACCGGCATGGGCTGGTAGTGCGTGAGCGGCGCCAGCAGTTTGGGCGCCTCCTCCGCTTTTTCTTCCTCGCGCCGCTTCAGGCACGCCGCTTTCGGGTTCAGGTTACGTTCTGGATAAAAAGAAAACATACAATTCTATTAAGTTGGGAAATTCCATTAATTTTGGGATATTCCATTATTTTTTTGGAAAATTCCATTATATTTTTTGGAAATTCCATTATATGTATGTTTGGGAAATTCCAATATTTTTGAGAAATTCCATTATTTGGGAAATTTGAAAACTACGTCCGATCAGAATACGTGAAAATACGGTCAAGAGCAGTCGTGCTTTCTATGGTAGTTTACTTATGAGCTATGTTCGATATCCGTCATCCGATTCCTCTATTACTTTCTAATATAGATTCGTAATTCGTATGATGATGGATTCGGATCGGACACAGTGCGAAACTGATCTTATGGAATTTGGGCATAATACATAAACGATGTGCGACATTTACATGCATACGCTTTCATCAAAGGTTTGTATTACCATCCATCTTGCGCCACATACCGTGTGGGCATTATGGCGTTACCAATGGTAAATTTAATCTATCCCCTGAACGAAGTTGCAGACCTATGGAGGCAACGGGACTCGGAGAAAACATATTAAATAAAAATTATCTCTATTTCGGACAGCATACTGTCCATAATAGACTGAAGAGTAGTACAGAGGGCTTAGTGTGAGTTTACATCAAACGTCGTCTAATAATCTACTAAAGCCTGGTCCGTGAGCACGTAGAATTTTGTCCAATGACCCCAAGCTACCCATCCTTATCGCTCGCGCGTAATTATGTTGGTGTCGCGCTCGCACACTCACTGCGGGCACCCGTCGCACATTCGCGACAGAATATAATTACGCGTTTTTTGTCACTTTCTAAGTTTTGAATTTTATGGAATTGGGAAAGAAGTACCGAGTTTGAAGCGTTCATGAGCAGACATTGCAGTTGAATATTCAAGTTCTGAATTTGATTATTGATGAATAATAAAATAAATCCTACTAGCTAAATTGATGGTTTCATTTAATTTATTTAAACCAGGTTACCTTTAATAATATTTTTTCGTTAATTTATGAAAATATCAGATTAAGGCTTGGTATTTCTTCTAAAGTAGGTATTTCGCGCTGTCAAAATCTGCGCGCGCAATTCTTCGCCGAAAACAGCGCGTCAAAGAGCTCCCGCCACAATTTCCAGCTACACAGTATAGAAATACGCAGTTGGTTAGGTTAGGTTGACTTCCTTCCCTTCAAGCGTCACACTCACAACACTTTCTAATAGAAATCATATCCAAGTGACACAAATTAAAACACCTTTCAGACTTTTTGGGAATATATTCTAGAATCGAATAAATATAAAATATAACTGCAGAAGTAAACACGGTTCAAAGTGGCCGTGGCGTCGCCCGACCTTCTGGAAGTTCTGCGCCGGCTTAAAAAAAAATATCCTATTTAAATATCAGTTTATGTGGAATTTTCTAAATTAGTCAACTCATTTATGTATTTCTTTTTCTCTAAAAATATGAATGTAAAAACAAAAAAAATATTTTGTGGTCTGTAAACTTTTGGTTTTTTTTTATGTTCAATTACTTTTTACAATTATGATTTGTAATGAAAATTATGATCATTTGAAATAGAGTTTTTCTCGGATTTTAATGTATTTTGATGTTTTGTTTTGAACTGTTGTAACTAAATTTAATATTTGAAAAAATATTGTAAACCAATTTTTTTTCTTTTAAAAAGGGGGGAGGTGTAGTATGTGTACGCGCCAAACCTATATATTTGACGTTGCTGCGTAAACTGCACACTCAAATATACTAGCATCGCACAGTATAGACTCTTTCATTTGTCAACTCCCGGTCCCCACATTACATATTTCTGAACTTTAGTTTAGTAAAAGATTCAGAATCTCAAATCGCTTATTTTAAAAATAAAACCATAATTAGAAAACGAATAGAGGTAACTTTGGGAATTTATTCTATCGAGTCAACTTCATCAAATCGTGTTTCCATCCGTTAATAGCCCTAGAAAATATCCTCAACTATGCCCAAAAAAAATCTTAGCCTTTTATTTTACTGTTTAGTACCTCAAAAATGAAAAATGAAAACCTCATTTTCGCCATTTTCTCTGTTACCCGGCCTTAACCCGTAATCCTGAATCCTGATACATAAATTTTGCCTATTAATTTAACACATGTACGACTGTACTCAGTGTTGCACTATCAAATGCAATTGACACGCCTCTATGCCAGGGTTTTTATGTTCCTGGTCAGGCTATATTTTGTACTATCGGCAGCAGTGTTAACTGCCCATTGTAAACTCGTTCTATCCGATAGAATCTATCGCAAAGAATCACCATTTGATTAGAGCGAGAACAAAAACGGAAATGGGTAGTTAACAGTGTGGCCGTGTGTACATTGTTTCTTTATAATAAAATCTCTTATATCCTGATATTAAAAAAGGTACTTAATATGTGTGATCAGTACCAGTGTGACTGGATGGGATTTTTTCCCAACGAGTAACACTGTTAAAAAATTCTGGGTGTGACTCGTTGGGAACAAGCGACTAAAAATGACTTCTATTCCGTCCAAGCTAGAGTATACATTCCCACTGACCTCTGACTTGCTGCTCCAGCGTCATAATGACTTCCACAGCCATGTTGAGGATGCCGAGCTTGGTTTGCGGCTTGTCGCTCTTGAGGTGCGTCATGCACATACGCCCGAGCTCCTTCAGCGCCTCGTTTATATCTCTTATCCTTATCCTGAGGAAAGAGAGAGGTTAGAGAAAGGTAAAAGAGGGTCACTTTGAGGCACGGTTTCTATTAAGGTGGAGCGGAGCAAAGAAGTGTTTTGAATAACCAATAAGATATAATTATTTTCACTTCTCTTCTCCACGCCGCGCCGCTACCATTTTATTATAAAATTTGACAGCCCAACGCTTCTCCGCTCTGTTCCGCTTTGGTGGAAAACGGCCTTAGATGGATGGGTGGGGTATTGAGTATCCTTTTTGAAAGTAGTAATTTGGTAACTGTTAAAACGCGTTTTAGTGTTTGGGAATATGAATGTTAAAAAGTTTCAGAGGAGTTATGATGTTATACTTTTCACAAGACTGTAAATGTTTATTTATCTATCGAAATCATTACTGAGTAGAGTCATTTTCCATTTATTAACAAAAAGTTTCACTGTAAACTTTCAAAAAAGATACACAATACACTAAAGGGTAATCTGAAATTTTCCAAAAAAGAAAATCTATAAGCATGTGAAAAAATCTCCAATTCTACTTTCAATGTTCAAATAAAATTTGACACAATTCAATTGATCACAGTATGTAAATGCCAATTGTTTGATATCCCTGAAATAACACACAAAAATAATAAAAAATACAGGTATATCAGTTGGTAAATTCACGATTCCATCATATATATTTTGTCATGTCGAACATTTTCAACATAATAAAAATGATTTATCTGCGCATTATATCCTATCTCTATCTCATTCTATTTCTTATACACAAATCGAATCTTTCTTCTATATGTCCTTTACCCGTTTCCAGAGTGATTGATTGACCTATCTGCCTCTAAGATTTCAAGTGTTTATAAATAAAAATAAAAACTTTTACACATTCATGCTTCAGCCTCGTATGTGTCTTATTTATCCCTGTATCACACTCTATTATCTATAAGAATTGTAGGTTTGTCGCCATTTACACCGCATCTCTTTTATAGGTACACACGGCCACACTGTTAACTATCAATTTCCGTTTTTGCTCTCGCTCTAATCAAATGGTGATTCTTTGCGATAGAACGAGATGACATGACTGGCAATGGGCAGTTAACACTGTTGCCGATAGTACCTATTTTAGCCACTTTTATTGCAATCTATCTTCCCTCTATCTATATTTGTCTCTCTTTTAGCTTTCCTACCCGATTTTTACTTAAAGCATACAGTGTTTGCTTTGTGTTATTTACTTAAACCATTTCAGCAACTCTTACTCTACCTCTCCGTATATCAAAGCTAATGAGGTAAGAAATTACCTCATTAGCTTTGTTAGAATCTCTGATTCCACATTTTACTTTATTTCATGTTCATTCTTTTCCCTATATTTCTCTTTTCTCTAGCGGTGCTGGAGTTTAAATACTCGGTCCACCCTCACGCATACATTTTTGTTATATTTCATCCATTCCCTTACTCTATCTTTCTTTTACCCATCTGTTGCATTATCACAGTCATCAAAATACTCTTTGCTCACATACACATCTATTTCCTTACCCTATCTCTCTCTTACCTCTCCCTAGCGTTGTTGGCCTGCCGCCTCTCCTTCTCCCGGAGCGCCTTGGCCTGTGGGTCCGCCTCGTCGTCGCCCTCGTCGGCCGACGAGCAGCTGCCAACACTGCGCACGTTAGCCTTACGTTGGTGTGTGGGAGAGATAGGTAACGGTAGGAGAGATCTCTCCTAACTGAGGTTTACGAGGAGTTTGTGATGCTGGATCTTTTGCGAGACTTTTTATACTGATTTACTAATACTGATTGATGTTATAATTTAAAAAGCGTCATAAGAAGACATTTATTTTCTGCAAATATGCTTTGAAAAAGCGCTTTGGCATAAAAATTACATCATCATCATCATTTCAGCCATAGGACGTCCACTGCTGAACATAGGCCTCCCCCAATGCTTTCCACGTTGATCGATTAAAAATTACATAGAAAGAGGAAATGTACATATCTCTGGTATTCGAAATCTCTATGTAGAATTGTGGTTTAAGTATTGAATAATATTGGAAGCCAGCATTAAAAAAACCTCGTGAACCCTGAACTAAATAATGGAACAACTTGTTCATCTCACCCGACACTAGCCGACGCGAGAGAGAGAGCCGCCGACCTCCTAGATAAGAGAGAGATAGAGAGAGCACCCGCCACAAGCCATTATGTTATGTACAGGTGTGCTTTGACAACTTTTACCGTTCATATGCGAAATTGGAATTTCACACTCACAGCATCATTAAAATGATTATATTCAATGTGCATATTATTTTAATTGAAAAGTAATGAAAATATACCGTAATAAAATATAGGTAAGATTGTTCCATGTTGCACATACTCAGTTATAAACAATAGTTTAAAGAAAAGAAATCTAAGAAAGTAATCATTTGTGTTACATTTTATTAGTAAGGATGTTTGTTACATTGCATTATGTATTCAATTTATTGAAACGTTGCGTACAAAGTTGTCAAAGCGAAATGTATCCAGGATATTATTGTGACATGATTATGATTTCAAAGCATTAATATTGGACGTCCGATACACATTGTTAGTTACATTTAGAGAATGCCTTGTGGGATGGTTACGACAGGAACACAATTATCGTCACACTAGTGTTACAATTGAAATTGCAAAGTTTCACGTGTAACATTGTTACAATTTAAACTCAAATGTAACATTAGAATGTAATAATTGAAATTGTGATTTTAATGATTGAATTCCACTTACCTTCCCCCTAAAATGGTGATAAAATACACAAAGACACAGAAACATGAAATGCACGAATCAATAATGTTTTAACAATTGATGATTTACATACTGTGACCCAATTTTCGTTGTTAATGATGAATAAAGCTGAAACTATAATACATTATGTTAGTATAGTATTGGAGATTTTTTACATGAGCCATTTTGAATTTTATCGCAGGGGAATAAGATTAGAAATGGCGGAAACGGTAAGGTTGTGTAAATTGCAAACAAATATAAGTTTGCATTTACACTAAAGAAACACACTGAAAAATAATGTTGTCAGATATTTATACAACGTGTCCCAAAATTCAAGGATAAGCCGGCGCCGCAGGGTGGACCTAGTCATGACTGCTTTAGGAAAAACAAGAAAAAAAATCTATCTCAATTATTTTTTAAGTTACACAATAAATTATGAAATTCGTCGAAAATTGACACCCCTTATGATATTTTACATTACCACGACTACAATTTTTCAAATACTTCAGTTTTTTTGTTTGCATCGACAACTTAAGTAGTGCTGCTGTCCACCCCAATTCTTAAAACCCTCAGAATCCTTGCAGTTTTTACACAAAAGTTAATCAAAATATGATATTTCCTTAAAATTTTGAACGATTTTTACTTACACTCCACTTTGACTCGTCGTTTTGTAAAAAAACAGTATGAACACTACTGCGGCAAGTTTTTTATAAAGTTGACGCAACTATCCAAGATTCCGAAATGGTATAATACTCTAAGAAAACTAGTCGCAAAAAAGATATGCGTACCATTTTTACAAGCATTTCGCTTGTAAGTTAGTATGAGATAAATCTTGCAACTGAATTTAAAACCAGTTCTCCTTAACCAATTGAGCTGAAATTTGGTATACTTGTGTAAGTACGATGACAATGCAATATTATGGTACCATTGAGCTGGATGGAGTATGGAGGTGGCCATAGGAACTCTTAACGAAACGGCGGAATTACATCTAGTTTGGGTTCGTTGGACTTGTCTTTTCGAGCACTTTAGTGCTAGATGATGTTCAGGGTCCTGATGATGAAGTCAAGAGGTGGCAGGAGCTGGCCATAGGAACTCCTAAACGAAACGGCGGAAGCTTATCGAGTTTGGGTTCGTTGGATTTGTCTTCCCGAGCACTTAGGCCATGAGATTGAGAAACAACTAAAAAGCTTAAAATAAAGTTGTAATAAAAAAAACTTATTTAAAAACAAGCTTGACTTCGTTTGAAAATTATAATTGACTTCATCATCAGGACCCTGGACATCATCTAGCACTAAAGTGCTCGAAAAGACAAATCCAACGAACCCAAACTCGATAAGCTTCCGCCGTTTCGTTTAGGAGTTCCTATGGCCAGCTCCTGCCACCTCTTGACTTCATCATCAGGACCCTGAACATCGTCTAGCACTAAAGTGCTCGAAAAGACAAGTCCAACGAACCCAAACTAGATGTAATTCCGCCGTTTCGTTAAGAGTTCCTATGGCCACCTCCATACTCCATCCAGCTCAATGGTACCATAATATTGCATTGTCATCGTACTTACACAAGTATACCAAATTTCAGCTCAATTGGTTAAGGAGAACTGGTTTTAAATTCAGTTGCAAGATTTATCTCATACTAACTTACAAGCGAAATGCTTGTAAAAATGGTACGCATATCTTTTTTGCGACTAGTTTTCTTAGAGTATTATACCATTTCGGAATCTTGGATAGTTGCGTCAACTTTATAAAAAACTTGCCGCAGTAGTGTTCATACTGTTTTTTTACAAAACGACGAGTCAAAGTGGAGTGTAAGTAATAATCGTTCAAAATTTTAAGGAAATATCATATTTTGATTAACTTTTGTGTAAAAACTGCAAGGATTCTGAGGGTTTTAAGAATTGGGGTGGACAGCAGCACTACTTAAGTTGCCGATACAAACAAAAAAACTGAAGTATTTGAAAAATTGTAGTCGTGGTAATGTAAAATATCATAAGGGGTGTCAATTTTCGACGAATTTCATAATTTATTATGTAACTTAAAAAATAATTGAGATAGATTTTTTTTCTTATTTTTCCTAAAGCAGTCATGACTATGTCCACCCTGCGGCGCCGGCTTATCCTTGAATTTTGGGACACATTGTATACTTTACTGAACAAAATGGTTTTTTTTATTTATAAATATCTGACATCATTATTTTAATTAATACACCAAAAAAATGAGCGTGGTAAGGATTTTAAATTGCCCCAAAAATACATCACATATTCAAGCTAGCTAAAGTTTATTTTCCTTTAATAACAATTTTCATCCCGACTTTTACTTTTAAATCTTGAATCATTACCATAATTTAGATTTCATCCCACATTTTAAAAACAAGATAAACACATTAAACCCCACATGTAATTTTTTTTCATATTTTAACCCCAAAACCCTAAGAAAACAGATTTCCCATTCCATATGAGGATTTTCATCTCCATTTTTTTATTTTCTACACACATTAAAAGTTACAAATCTATCTCTTCCCCCTTATCACCCCCAATTTCAACCCAAACCACGAAAAACCTATAATTTTTCCCCTTGTAACCCCAGATTTCAACCCAAACCACGAAAAACCTATCATTTTTCCCCTTATAACCCCAGATTTCAACCCAAACCACAAAAAACCTATCATTTTCCCCCTTTATCACCCCCAATTTGAACCCAAACTACGAAAACCCTATCATTTTCCCCCCTAACAACCCTTTTCAACCCAAACCACGTCCCCCACCGCACCTCTCTCGCACGTTGTTAGCCTGCCGCCGCTCTCTCTCGCGCGCGGCCTTCGTGTCGGGATCCATGTCGTCCTCGTCGGCGGACGAACAGCTGTGCAGCGATGTACTTATTAAAGGACAAGGGTGATGGTTAAGGACAGTACTCGCTGGCAAGTGGGGTGAAAAGTTTACTGAGTTTGTTTCATGATGAAGTTATAGAAATACAGAAGCAAAATTGGAAGCCCTGTATTTGACCCAATTGTGACTGGTTGAATTTCAATATTTCATGACTTAAGTTTGAGTGAAGTTTAGAATCGTTTAAGCGTGTGAACTTAAAGTGATCTTGTTTCTTTAAATATAGGTACTTTTATTTAAACACCAGTCAAAAGATTATAGTTATAATAAGAATAGTATATTAAAAACACTATGAAACTCAGTAAACTTTTCAATCCTATTGATAGAACAAGTCAAGTGCGAAGACTTTAAGCCTTGGACACACTAGGGGAAATGTATTCTACCCTAGTGTATCCGAGGCTTTGGATTATTCCACATTGACATCAACACGATATAACATTATAATTCAATGAACAATTAATAAAACAAGAAAATAACCAAAATGAGAACATCAATCAACAATACAGGGTGAAATAGAAAATATCTATGAGCATTTACAGTCAACGGGTTTTTCGATTCTACCCTGCATAACGAATTTAGAGAATTGTAAACAAAATTGTGTTCAATAAGTAATTATTTTGATGCAAAAATTTAAATCAAAAAAGATAAAAGTTTATCATTCTCACTGATACTATCAGCCAACTTTTGGAGTGTTATTTTCATCACACAATAATATTCTGGTTTTATTAAATCGTCCTTGACCTAAACAATGGATTGTTTGCTTGTTTCCAACGAGTCACACGTAAACGAGTAACATTTTTACTTGTTGGGAAGAAAATTCCCATCAAGTAACACTGTTACTGGTAAGGTCATTTGTTTTCCTGACTTCCCAGCCGATTACTGAAGAAGAAGTTCGGTAAAAAAATGTCTTAACGAGTAAGGCCCAGAACAGACGGTGAAACGCAACTGCAACGAAACTGCAACTTTCTGATGATTATTATGAATGAAACTGAAACTGAAAGTTTCAAACTGGTCGCGCCATGTGTGGTCTCTCAACGGACGCTATGGCAGAAACTTAGATGCAACTCAAAAGTAACTAGCAGTTGCAGTTTCGTTGCAGTTGCGTTTCACCGTCTGTTCTGGGCCTAACAGTGTGACTCGATGGGAATTTTTTTCTCAACGTGTAACAGTGTTACTAGTTTGTGTGTGACTCTTTGGGAACAAGGTTTTTTTTCTACACTATTAAAAGAGGTTATTAATTTTGTTTACAATTCGCGTGAACATATAACGGTGAGACGGTGACGTTACCTAGGCAGCAATGCATGCGCGCTGCCCACAGGCCCAGCGGTGGGACCGTCGGCCGCGAAGCGGTCGTCTCCTTGCTTTCTATAACTAAAACGTACAATGTTGTGACGGGGTGCCGTGGTATTGCAGTAAAACTATGTAATTATAAGTTGTAATTAATAATTATGTTTTACTAACATTAAGGAACCTGATTTCGGAAATTTATTTAAAAAAAACTGTGACAAAATTAATTCAAAGGACTGATTCTAAAGTTATTAAATTTTAGCATTTTTAGATGCAAAGCATTTGTTTTTTAAACTGGAAATCAATTTGTTAAGTTCTAAAAAAAAGGACTAAATTTTTCACAAAGTGAACGATATAAGTGATGTAGGCTGTGTGTAGAAGGCATCACATTAGAATTTTCATTTAGTAAGTTGGCCTTTAAAGGCACCATTTACCTATCCCTACATCTTTAAACAAATAGAATGGAGTTTGTATTACCAGTTAAAAGGTTAAATTATGACTTAGCTAAGATGGTTTCTTAGTTTTTATCAAAACGCATACAATGTCTATGAATGAATTTTAAGTTTTACTGCAATTCGCGGTTAAAGTTGTGAAATTCGATATTCTAATCAGCCTGTATTGTTAATCGTCAAATCTGTCAACTCCCACGCATATCAACAAGTCAGTATAAATTATTGGGTAGTTAACACTATTAATAAATAATTTTAGGACACAACTTTTATATAAAACACTAGTTTAGTCCTAAAAATACATTACATCGACTTTATGAATGTCAGATTATTTATTGGTAGTGTCAATTATCCAATTCGATTTTTTTCCAGAATGTCTACTTATAATATTGAGTGTAGTGCGTGTGAGAATGTGTTTTAGTGTGTGGTACTCACTGAGAATAACCGTTTTGAGTATGGTACTTATTTAGAATCCATTTAACATAGAAATAATGTCTGTATGGAGTTTGGGTCACTGAGAATGCGAATTTACCGTGTACTTAGTGAGAATGTTAATTTGCGTGTGGTACCCAGTGAGTCTATATCTTTCGTATGGTACACAGTAAGAATATCCATTTAGCATGTAATATTCGGTGAAATGTTTCAATTTCATGTGGTACTAGTTCAACATCAAACCATGGATGACGCCGGGTCTAATTCGGTGTTCCATGCATAAAGACAGGCTACATGCTGAAGTAAGAAAATACCCTAATGACCAAATCAAAAAAACTATCTACTCGAGGTATAGAAATTTTTACATCGGTCTGCTTCGTAAATTGAAGGCGGAATATGAGAGCGCAGAACTTAACAAAAATAGGAACATCCCCAAAAAACTTTGGCAATGTGTAAATCGGATATCCCATAGATCTCTAAAAAACAAAGGTGACTCCCCTCAGGAGCTCCTAAAAATAAAAAGTAATGTAAAAGACTCTCTAAATGAGTGTAATATGTACTTCACGTCAGTTGGCCAAGATCTTGCAAATTCCATCCTGCAAAGACTTCACAAAACTCATGAAACGCTAACCGCAGAGGCAAATATACATAACCCACCTTCACCACTGAGCTCCTTTTTTATATCACCCATAGATGCACAAGAAATATTAGATCTCATAAAAATGCTTAAACCAGATAGTACTCCGGGACTCGACAATATAAATCACAAAATTATCAAAGCAACTGCACATGTAATAGCTGAGCCACTGGCTGTTGTTTTTAACAGGAGTATTGAAGAGGGTACTTTCCCGAAAGTCTGGAAAATTGCAGCCGTAGTTCCTATATACAAGGATGGACCTAAAGATAGCCCTGGTAACTACCGTCCTATATCGCTGCTCGGAAGTATCTCTAAGCTGCTCGAAAAATTAATAAATAAACGTCTTGTTTCTTTCATTGAGACTAATGACATGCTCTCGAGTCGGCAGTTTGGTTTTCGCCAGGGTAAATCCACAGAGGATGCTGTTACTCTCTTAACAAATATTGTTTCCTCTCACCTTGATTCTGGGCAGAGTTGCATCGGTGTCTTCCTCGATTTGTCAAAAGCTTTTGACTCGGTTTCCATTCCCATCCTTCTTAAGAAACTTGAGTCTTACGGAATTCGTGGTAACGCTCTAAAATGGTTCACCAGTTACTTGACGGACCGTCAGCAATGCATCAAGATTGGCGAACATACTAGTGAGTTGAAAGCGATAACTTTTGGTGTTCCGCAAGGGAGCATTCTTGGCCCCACCCTTTTTCTTCTTTATATGAATGATATTACCTCTCTCCAACTGAAAAATGCTGACATCTTGTGCTACGCTGATGACACAGCACTTATCTTTTATGACAAGTCTTGGCAAAAGGTCCACATGAGAGCCGAGGATGGTATGATGGTGGTGGCGGACTGGCTTAACTCTAACCTGCTTTCTCTCAATACTAAAAAAACAAAGTTTCTCCGCTTTCATAAAACTGCTGCATCGGCACCCTTGGAAGGGCAATCTTTGAAACTTCACTCAATCTGCTGCCCATCTCTTTCTCACAGTGGCACCTGCAAATGCGAACAAATCGAACAATCGGAGACTATCAGGTATCTGGGGGTGATATTGGATGATAAACTTACGTTCAGAGATCACATCGGTGCTATGTCAAGGAGAGTTAGGAAACTAATCTACGTAATGAGAAATCTTCGGGACTCAATTGATGGTACAACCCTGAAATCTGTATACATGGCTTTGGGTCAGTCTGTCTTGGGTTACTGTATTCGAGCCTGGGGTGGAGCGGCATCTACTACTCTTATATCTCTCGAAAGAGCCCAAAGAGCAGTTTTAAAAGTGGCGCTAAGGAAACCTATCCGATACTCGACAGTGGCCTTATACAGGGATGCCGAGGTTCTCAGCGTCAGAAGACTCTTTTACTTAAGGGTTGCTGTGTCCATGCACAAATCTGTTCTGAACTCTGATTGTTACGGCGAATTGCTCGAAAAGCGTGTTTTTAGAGTTCCCTGCCCCGCTGTAAAAACTTCATTTGCTCGGCGTTTTGGTAACTTCCTCTTCCCACACATCTACAATAAACTTGTCAGGTTGTGTGATTATAAATACTGCACGGTCAGAGAAGCAAAGGTTCTCGTCTCACGGACCCTGATGAACTGGACATATGATGAGTCTGAAGAATTTATTAGAATAAATAATTGAAGAAGAAAATACTCCCCCCCCCCCACACACACACACACACACACACTAATACACAACACATCTACACTTTTACACACAACAGCACACACCCTACATCCATCCCTGATGCCTTTTCGTCTTCTGTGTACTTTTCATATTTTCGATTTATTGGTTCCTTAAATAACGCTTCAGCTTAGCCGTACTTAATTCTACCTGTTAATCGTTATTCTCTCCTCCACAGGACAGGCAATGCCTAGTGTGGAGGTCTGTCTTTTAGTTATTGTATTGTTTGATTCTGGCAATAAATATTTTCATTTTCATTTTCATTTTCATTTTCATTTTCACTTAGTGGCAATGTGTATTTTTCGTGTAGTTTTCAGTGAAAATGTATATTGTTTAAGTGATATGCAGTGAGAATGTTTATTGTTCGTGTAGTACTCAGTGAAAATTTGTTTTTCCGTTGTTACTCAGTGTCCATATTCTTTTTCGTATGGTACTAAGTAAAAACGCTTATTTATCATGTAGTACTCAGTGAAAATGTACACTACTCCTATAGTACACAGTGACAACATGCAGGTATCATGCGATTGTCACTGAGTACAGTGACAATGCGTATTTTTCTTATAGTATTCAGTGACAATGTATACTGCTCCTATAGTACACAATGACAGCATGCATGTATCGCGTGGTACTCACTATCTGCGCGCGCGCTTGGTGCCGGGCGGCTTGGCGAGGTCGGCGGAGCCCGACGACGACGGCTTGCTGTCCAGGCCGGAGTCCGGGGGCTCTTTGCGTTTCTCTGTAGGACGGACGGTTAAGTGTTAGGACAAAAACTTTAAATTAATTAATGAACTTGTATGAGGTAGGTACTCGTCCCAATCGTTGAATAAGTGAGCGGAACGGAGAAGTATTTGAACGTCACGCCGCCGCTGTCAAATTCTACATACAGGTTGTCCCAAAAAGTAGTGTCAAGCCGCAGCCCAGAGGTAGAGCATCACTAGGACTACCCAAATCACCGTGACTTTTGATAGTTTTTGATTTTTTTCTACAACATACAGGATTGTATTTTTGAATTAGCTAGGCCTAGTATTCATCTAATAATAATAAAAAAATCAGGCATGTAAGTTGACTATTATCCGTTCGGCCAAAAATGCGGTGAAATGAGCGCGTCTGCTCGCGCATCCGTCCGGATTGAAATGTTAGTCAGTTGTAAGCAATTACGAGTCTACGAACTGTTAAAAAAAATACTATTTTCGTATAAGTGCGCTCCGACGCGCGCCGGTCAATGGGTATCGTCCCGAAGAGGAAGATAATATCTAATTATTATTATTGAATTATGATAAAAGATTGGCACTACTATTACATTGGGTTAGCCTGTAACAATAGTAAATGTGTGTGTATGTAAATAAATAAATAAATAATGACAAAGAAATACTCACTATTGCTGGGCAGCACGTGGCGCTCCATCTTGACAGGCGGTTCTGTGTGCGCGTGCGCCAGCGCCGCGCCGCCAGCGCTCAGCCGCGAAACTGTCAAAGAAAAAACTTTAGAGGATTTGCGACATGGGATGCGTTCTAACCAAGATGGCGCAGTGACACAAAGTGAGTAAAGATTATCGTCGGCCGTTTGGTGTAGTGGTTCGAATCGGACTACTATTCCGGAGGTTGCGGGTTCGATTCCCGCACAGTACAAACATTTGTGTGCATGAACATATTTGTTTGTATTGGACTGGGTGTTTTCTATGTATAATATGTATGTATTTACAAAAAAAAAGTATTTCAGTATGTTTATATATGTTGTCTAGTACCCTTAGTACAAGCTTTGCTTAGTTTGGAACTAGAAGCGCAGTGTAAAATGTCCAAGGATATTTATTTATTATATTTATTTAAGGCAAGGAGAAGAGGCCTCCGACAATAAGTCCAGTATCCACTCTTGTCTTATCGATGAAAACTTAGTAACCAGAAGTTACAAGTTATTCAGTACTTCAGTAGTAATAGTCACCCGGCAAGACGGCTTATTCCACTATTCCCCGTTGACAATCCCCGTCAACGGGGATTAGTGAACTTTTTATTCACTTATCCCCGTTAACGCCAATGAGGGCTATCGTTTTTATACTTAACAGTTGGCACCCCTGGCGATTGACAGGACCTTACTCTACAGTGGCGCCATCTTGATGAGTGCAAATGCGATAGTCCTCCTACCACTTTAGCGCTCACCAGTTGGTGCCACTGTCTTCGCTACTAGCGAGGTGACAGGACCTTACTCTACAGTGGCGCTAACTGGTGAGGCGCTAAAACGATAGCCCTCATTGGAGCTTGAATGGGGAATAATGAACTAAAAAGTTCATTAGTCCCCGTTATATTAAGATTTTATTTTCAACGTAATGGGGATTAATGAACTTTTTAGTTCATTATTCCCCATCAAAAACTTTTTGTTCACTAATCCCCGTTGACGGGGATTGTCAACGGGGAATAGTGGAATAAGCCGGGCAAGACAAAGGCGGTTTGAATTCCACTTGAGGCAATCGTATTTTTTCATGTTTATCATTTTGCCTATTTCTCAGTAGCTCAGCTGTCAGAGCAGTTCTCCGTCAAGCATAAAGGTCGTGGATTTAATTCCCACGAGAAGTAATCGATGTTTTAATCAAATCAAATCAAAAACATTTATTTCTTAGAAAGTGGTAACAAGATATTAAATAACAACGGGTTCAGCACCTTCTGCCACTTGTGGCGTAGAAATATTTACATTATAGCATTAAGTCTTTACAATTTACCTAACATCTCAAGTAGCTGAGTGGTCAGAGCTATCAACAGGCACAAAATCTACATTACGTCTCAGTAGCTCAGCGTTCGGAGCAGTTGCCAGGCAAGCTAAAGGCCGTGGGTTCGACTCCCACCTAAAGCAAAAAAAATTTCAAGTTTTATCTAGACTAGTGTCTCACCTGGCGCGGGCTGGTGCGGCAAATGTTCGGGCGCGTACAGGTCACAAGCCTCCGCGTGGTTGCGTAGCACGTTGATCGCGTCGTCTAGTCTCTCCTCCATCCGCGCACCCTATGCAACCATACGAATATAAAATAGCTATAATAATATAGCAAAAAAAAAAACACCCAAACTGCCCCTCTGGATCAGATAGCGGCTTATGCCACTATTCCCCGTTGACGCCAATTGGAGCTTATAATGGGGAATAATGAACTAAAAAGTTCATTAATCCCCGTTATATTAGGATTTTATTTTTAACGTAATAGGGATTCATGAACTTTTTAGTTCATTATTCCCCATTATAAGATCCAATTTAACGTTAACGGGGAATAGTGGAAGAAGCCCAGATAGCCACCCTAACACCCGTATTCACAAACGAAGCTTGCTTAGTAACGCAGCAAACCAAATGCACAGCGTTGAATAGAGCACTGTGATTGGTTCGTGTGTAACCCTGTGCGTACACGCGCATTTCATAGTAATGTTTGTGAATACGAGCGTCAGTTTTAAGAGATCCACATATGATGCTACTTAGATATTTGAGGACAAAATACATTTACTTAGAAAATTAACATAAATTCTAGATCCTGGATGCAAGACAAGAGGTGGAAATGTAATCAGAAACAGATTTCAAAGCTTTTTTTTTCTTATTAAAAGTCTAATTTTATAAGTTTTTCAGCCACTAACATTACAATACCTACTCATCTACAACTAAGCCAAACTTCAAAAAAGACAAACTCATGCTTTATTTTATTTAAATAAATCATACTTAAAACTAAAGATCTAAATTGTTGTTGTTGGAAAGGGGTGAAAATGTTACTTTCATTCATTACACTAAGCATTATGATTAACTCTAATTCATCAATTAAAATTTACTATACTATTTACACCTCATAATAAAAAAGCCAATTACAAAATCAAATCAAATTCCCACCCCAACACCCCCACTTTCATCCCTCCTCGTCAACTTCCACCCCTTCCTATAAACTTTTATCCCCATGCCCCAACTTTCACCCCCCCTGCCCCAAATTTCACCCCTACCCGTCAACTTTCATTCCCCTACCCCAACTTTCACCCCTCCCCGTGAACTTTCATCCCCATGCCCCAACTTTCACCCCATCCTCATCAACTTTCATCCCCGCCCGTCAACTTTCACCCTTCCCCGTCAACTTTGATCCCCATGCCCCAACTTTCACCCCACCCCGTCAACTTTCACCCCTCCCCGTCAACTTTGATCCCCATGCCCCAACTTTCACCACATCCCGTCAACTTTCACCCCTCCCCGTAATATTAGTGAAGCGGTACTCACGACTACATCGGAGTGCTCTCGGAGGAACACCATCGCTTCGTCCAGCTGTCGTTGCTCCGCCGGCGCGCCCTATACAACGACTACGTTACCACGGGTAGGGGAGCCGGTCACCATAGGGGACGTATAACGATATGAGAGAAGATTTACGAAAGACCCCTATAGAACCACTGCGTAACCACAGGTTGGGGATCTGGCCACCATAGGAGACGTTCTGGCCACCATAGGGGACGTTCTGGCCACCATAGGGGACGTCTAACGATTTGTAATGAATACGGAACTATTCCCACCGCTGCAACTCCTGTGTAGCCAGAATCTACAGCTTGACCGACAATAAAAACCCAACCAGTGAAGGTCAAGTTTAACTGTCATTGGACCCGCAACGAAATTAATCAGAAGAACATAGGAGGAGTTCGAAGAGGCGATTTGATGAGAGCAGATTTACGAAGAATCTCGCTGTTACCACGGTTACGGAAGGATGTCACCATAGGGGGCGTATAACGACTAGTTTTTGGGCAAATGAATGAGAGAAGAAGGCGTATAACGATACGAATTATGTTTGGTGTCTCTAATCAGAATAGCGGCCTCCATCAAACGACCAAACAAACGACTTCGAAATCGTCGAAATAAAATCAGTTTTGAGAAGACGAACTAGATTCAAGATACGACTAAACAACACTTATTTCTAGCTTTTCTTCTTCTTTTCGTGTCGACAACAAACCTACACAGTGTCAGCCCAAAACTCCGCCACTATTTCTAGCTTTGAAAACCGATTTATTTCATTGATTTTTCAAAGAGTTGACAAACAAGTGCATATGTCATATAGCTTTCTGAGACTCGCGATTTGACAACTCTCATAAATAAAAGAATGTCAATCGACTGGTGGTGTCATCTACCCAGAGCAAACTGCGTTATAAACACACGCACACACAAAAACACACAACACGCACACTGCTAGTTACCACCATGTAATACTTTGACGTGAAAGCATTAAGGTTCCAATTAAGAAGACACTACTCTGCCAAAAATGCATCATGAAAAAGATATCAGTGAAAGTATTAGGAGAAACCACATTAAAGTAAAAATTAAGCAAGCTCTGTTACTTCAGAGAATAGAAACTGGTAATTTTCTTTTTGACAGACTAGCGCCTAATATGGCCACCAGACCTTAACCCAAGACCTTTTTATTTTATTTTGTGAGGAAATAAATAATTGTGTTTATAGAGAAAGAGAAAAGAACTGCAGGGTTCTGCAGTCATTGACTTAACTCCTAAAAGAAGAAGGTAAAATCAGATTTCTTTTTATACACTCACGAATTACGACGAAGGCTAAAAAGGGGATAAGATTTTTGACAAAAAGTAAAGGGTAAAGCTGCAAAAAAGCACAAGTCCCGAATGTATCGAAGAACTAAGTCTAGAAAAACACTCCAAAATGTTACAAAAAAACTCAAAAATGCTACAACTACAACTATGAAACGTTATGGTAACGAGCTCCACACTACACGCTTATTAAAACACAAAAAAAATACAAACACAAAAAATGGAAAAACAAATAAAAAATGGCAAGATTAAAGATATTTCTTTTGAAAAAATACTGTCGATTGTTTATTGCTACTTTTATTTTACAAATAAAAAAGAAATACATTTTATTCCTGTTGGGATTTCTACTAGCGAAGGACGAGTATTTTACTTAGAGTTTTGAACTTTTTCAGGAGCACAATGAAACAATACTTTTGACCGCAGCCATCTTTTTTTTTTATTATCGATCATAGACAACAGAGTAACACCAAAATCCACACTTTGGCCATAGACACATAACGTTCAGAAATAATTAACTGTTAAATATTCAACACCCCCTCTCAATTTCAACTTTCGAAATTGTCTTACAGAAATCCTTAAAAATAATTACTTGTTAATTACACAGAGTTATAAAGTTGTTACACTAGATTGTTACTAAGTATTTACTTATTTAAATTATTTAAGTACTATGTTCTTACATAAACGTAATGTATGTATTTGAAAACTAACTATGAACTTTATCCATTATCCTTTTAAATAATGTATTTACTTACATTTTATACCAATACTTAAATATTTTATCTTACATATTTAGTCAGATCTTATGTTAAACTATTATTTTCTTAAGTCTGTATTATTTATTACATGATATTTAACTAATACATCATTAGGTAAGCTTATGACACAACTTATTTATATTGTTACATTTAATTTACTTTAGTTAAACATTTACCTTAGTTATATCCCTTTTTTTTTTGTAATATGTACTTTTACTGCAATAGTCAATAGATTGTTATTAAATTTAATCAAGAGTTTATGAAAATACAAAATATTTATTTAGTATCTTTAAATTTTACAAAAATGCTTGTTTTAAACAAAACCACTACTCCAATCACGGACTTTACAATACATTCATTTTGTATGTTAAATAAGAATGTTGGTTAGTAGTCAAAGCTTTAGTAAAAATATCAGATATATTCTTATTACTTTCAACATAAGCTAGTGAAGCTACTTTCTTAGATATAATATCTTTAATGTAATGTGCTTTAATGTCAATATGCTTTGAACGTTTGCTATTTTCATAACTTTCAATAAGTTTTAAAGTACTTTGGTTATCTATCAATAATTTACATGAAATGTTTACTGATCCAAGATCTGATATGACACCTTTCAAGTTTACTATCTCAGTAACAGCTTGAGCCCCNTTGAGAACGATTCTCCTTCCCGCAGGATAGGTAGATTATGCAGTTTTTCCATGTGGCGTCACTTAGGTTATACTTGACAAAACTTGTTTTTTTTTGCTTATTTCCACTAGCAAACGTTATGCGCACTTTATTTGGCGCAGTGGAAGCGTGCTGTTGGGATTTCTACTAGCGAAGGACGAGTATTTTACTTAGAGTTTTGAACTTTTTCAGGAGCACAATGAAACAATACTTTTGACCGCAGCCATCTTTTTTTTTTATTATCGATCATAGACAACAGAGTAACACCAAAATCCACACTTTGGCCATAGACACATAACGTTCAGAAATAATTAACTGTTAAATATTCAACAATTCCTGCCACTTTTTATTTAAAAAACAAAATGATAAGTAAAATAATAATAAGCTCAAATTCATTCTCTCTTCAAAAAAATATTTTAGTAAAATTATTTACTAGTCCTAAAAGTCGAAAAGAGATCAAACTACTTTTGTTTACTAGAAAAACATTTACTTCTAAAATTATTTAGTTACATCCATGCAAGAGCACATGCTCTACAATTTTTGAATTGAAAAAATTCTTATTAACAAACTATTAACTAAAAAAAAACCATTGGAAATTGTAATTATGATGTTGTGTTATTAAAGTTTCATAAGTACTGAACAATTTTATATGGGGCCGTCCATATATTACGTCATTCTAAATTAGGGGGGGGATGTTTCGAAATTGACGTCATTCTTATTTATTTATTTATAGTTTATTGTTCACGTACAAAAATGTGAGGCTGCAAATGTGAGAGGCGGCTAAGGCGCGTCCAATATTAAAATAACTCATACTAGCTGCCCGCCCCGGCGTCGCCCGTGGTGTAACATGTATTATACATATAAACCTTCGTTAAGAATCACTCTATCTATTAAAAAAAAAAAGGTGATTCTATAACCAAGTGTTTTAATTTTGTCAAACTGGTAATGACGTCAATTTTGGGAGAGGGGGGGGGGGGGTCATTAAGAAATGACGATAGGATGATTGTAAGGGGGGGTCTAAAATCTGAAAAAATCGATGACGTAATTTATGTACGGCCCCTATTTTGTTGCGTGAGATTATAGTTGATCATTGTTGTGTGTTTGTGTACTATCACATAATGCACAGACTCTCTCTGACTCATAGTGATAGAACCATATTCGGCGCCTTGTTTCTGTGTATTTTCTATGAATGTGTACTGTGTCTATGGATCATAATAAGCGGCACTGCACTACTTATTTGTTTCTGATCATGTGGATTTTTATTGTTTCCTGACCATATTAGCACTTACATGAAGTGTCCAGGTATGTACTGACCATATTAGGCAGCATGTACTGTACGTGTACGGTACGTGTATGTACTGACTATATCACGTGTATGTACTGACCATATTAGGCAGCATATACGTGTATGTACTGGCCATATTAGGCCACGTGTACGTGTATGTACTGACCATATTGGGCGGCGGGTAGACGGCCACGTGGTGCCCGTTGGGCAGGTGCTGCGGCAAGGCGGACGCGGCTCCCGGCGACGACACTCCTGACGACACCCAGTTCGATTGCTGGAGGAGACAATAATACTATGTTACAGTTACGAACGATAGAGATAGATACAACCCGGTCGAGTTAAACGCGCACCAGGCAGCCGTGACATCACATCGCTGGTATAAAGTCTGGTCGCCGAGCACGTAGAATTTCGTCCAATGACCCCAAGCTACCCATTCATATCGCTCGCACACTCACTGCGGCCGCCCGTCGCATAGTCGTGACAGTAATACGTATAATTAAGCGCGAGCGATAAGGATGGGTAGCTTAGGGTCATTGGACGAAATTCTACATGCTCGGCGACCGGACTTTAGACGGAGCGAGGAGGTATACGGTTGAGTGCGAGGGAGAGTCGCATTCTAGCGAGGTGCGCAACTAGCTCAATCGGGCTGTAATAACGTTGTAGGGAGTCCCGCAGTAACGTGCTTTTCGTTTCTGTCCTGTCATCCGCTTTGCACTGGAGGGAAGTCGAACCTTCACTTCGAACTCCTCCTATGTTCTTCTGATTAATTTCGTTGCGGGTCCAATGACAGTTTAACTTTCCCCCGGGACAAATGTGACCTTCACTGGTTAGGTTTTTATTGGCGGTCAAGCTGTAGATCCTGGCTTGGCTGTAGAGTTGCAGCGGTGGGAACGAGAGGTGGGAATGGTTTCGTAGGATGACCGACCATCTGATGACCTCCATTCCTGCGTTCTGCGCTCACCTGTCCGTTGGTGCTGGTGGTGCAGCGCCGGCGAATGGACGATAGGCTGCTGGAGGCGCGCGGGGGAGGGACATGAGAACGGGCACCCATTAAAGAGTGACGTCACCAAAGGTTCAAAGGTTGCTTCACAGCAAGCCGAACGAGGAGTCCATTGAACCTGACTCCGATGTCCTCAGTAACTTGAAATGAAGAAATGAAGACAAAACCGTCACCCATCCAAGTGACCTCATCGGAAGTTGCTTAAACCAACTCGTCTCACAATCTAAAAGAAAGACGGTCACCCATCCAAAAGTGACCAAACCAAACACTGCTTGACCTCCAGCTCAGCAAAGATTCTGCTGGACCTGTTAAAAACGGTCACCCATCCTAAAGTGACCAGAGCCAACGTTGCTTGACCGGTCACCCATTATAAAGTGACCAGAGCGACCATCACAGCACGGCCCCATCCTACAGTGAACTCGGCCTCCACAGCGCGGCCCCATCCTACAGCGAGCGGCCCGCACGCCGCTCGGCCTCCACAGCGCGGCCCCATCCTACAGCGAGCGGCCCGCACGCCGCTGGGCCTCCTCAGCGCGGCCCCGTCCTACAGCGAGCGGCCCGCACGCCGCTGGGCCTCCTCAGCGCGGCCCCGTCCTACAGCGAGCGGCCCGCACGCCGCTGGGCCTCCTCAGCGCGGCCCCGTCCTACAGCGAGCGGCCCGCACGCCGCTTGCCTCCACAGCGCGACCCCGTCCTACAGTGAGCGGCCCGCACGTCGCTCGGCCTCCACAGCGCGGCCCCATCCTACAGCGAGCGGCCCGCACACCGCTTGAACTTCATCGACTCGAGTCACCCATCCTCACCTGTCCGTTGTGGTGCTGGTGGTGCAGCGCGGGCGAGTGCTTGAGCGGATACAGGCGCGGGTGCAGCGGCGGTGGCGAGTGACCGGCGTGGACGGCGACGAGCCGTATGAGGACAGGCTGCCCGTGCTGGGGGCGCGCGGGAGGGGAAATGAAGACCCGTCCTAGGGTGACGTCACCTCAGTTGCTTGAGATAGAGATGAAAAGAAAGGTCACCCATACGAAAGTAACTATACCAAGCCTGTCCAGCCCAGCAGAGAAGTATCTGTTGAAGCTGTTAAAAACGGTCACCCATCCAAAAGTAACCTCACCAGAAGTTGCTTAACACCAACTCGTCTGACAATCTAAAAGGAAGATGGTCACTCATCTAACAGTGACTAGACCGAGCGTTGCTTGACCTCCAGCGAAGCAGAGAAGTTTCTGCTGGACCTGTTAAAAACGGTCACCCATCCTAAAGTGACCAGACCCACCGCTGCTTAGCTACCGTCAAAACGGTCACCCATCATAAAGTAACCAGACCAAACGCTGCTTAACATCCAAAACGGACACCCATCCTAAAGTGACCAGACCCAACGTCGCTTGACCTTCAAGCCGGTCAGCCATCCTAAAAGTGACCAGAGCCAGCGTTGCTTGACCGGTCACCCATCTTAAAGTGACCAGACCAAACGCTGCTTGATCTCCAAATCGGTCACCCATCCTAAAGTGACCAGAGCCAGCGTTGCTTGACCGGTCACCCATCCTAAAGTGACCAGACCAAGGCAGTCGACCTCCATCAAGCCACCCATCCTCCTCCCATCAGCCCATCTCACCTGTCCGTTGTGGTGCTGGTGGTGCAGCGCGGGCGAGTGCTTGAGCGGATACAGGCGCGGGTGCAGCGGCGGCGGCGAGTGCACCGGCGTGGACGGCGACGAGCCGTAAGAAGATAAGCTGCCGCCTTCCGCGCCGCCGGCTACGCCGCCGGCCGGCGTGCTGGCCGCGCCTCCGGGGTACATCTGTGAAGGCAAGATTGGAATTTCTTTACTTGTGTAAAAGATCTCCAAGGTCTCACCTTGAACAGGCACTTACAGGGCAGGATGTATCATCCCATCATTAGCATGCAATAGGTACAAAAACAGTTTACAGTCTAGGCTTGTTCGTAAAGAAAAAGTGTTAAAAAATTACAAACTGGACCGTAAACTAAAATTAGTATACACAGCATGATAAATAAAATTACACTCACTCAAGAGAGCAGGGTGAGCAGCATGACAAGCTTAGCTCGCGAGTCCATGCGCCCGGTGACGCAGCTAATGACGAGTGACAGGACCATACTCTACGCTAACTGGTAGTGATAAATACAATAGCCTACATCGACTGGGGTTTCAACTGACATCTTTGGAGGGCCGCTCTCAGTACTTCTCTGATCAGCAGAGCTGACTGAGCAGCGGTATGGAGCAGACCGTAACCCGCTACAGCAAGCTGGGGGTCCTGTTGTACCAGAGCCACGAGGAGAAAACCTCTATAAAAACTACTGGAGGAGGGGATTGGGGGTTCCCTCGAAGCCGGAGAGGCTCACTCGTGAGCGAGCCTCTTAGCATGAAGCGGAGTGGCGGATGAATGTCCAAGCTAGGAGAATAACTCGCGGCTGTTTCATTGGGCTCCGGTAGACACCGTCGGAATATAGTGAGCAGGCGGAGAGTCCCACATAACCTACTGGCCGTCCCCATCGTCAACGATGGGTACAAGGAAGGTATACTCACAGCCCTACGATAGCTCTCATCGACTGGGGTTCCAACCATCTGTATGAAGAAGGTAGCTCTCAGCAAGGTGTACTCACAGGCTGTAGCGCCGGCTTGCCCACCAGCATGGGGTCCGTGGGCGAGTGGTGCGGCGCGGCCGCCCGGAACGACGACATGGGCGGGAGCGGCAGCTTTAGTCACTAAAGTCCGGTCGCCGAGCAGATAGAATTTCGTCCAATGACCCCAAGCTAACCATCCTTATCGATCGCGCGTAATTAAATTGCTGTCGCAACTGTGCAACGCGGGCGGCCGCAGTGAGTGTGCGACCGGACTTTAGTTGTGTCCACATCAAGCGCATAAGCTCGCGAGACACGCTTGTCGTCCTGCTTACCTTGTTCTTGAGTGAGCAGGATGAGAAGCTTGGCTCGCGAGCCCATGCGCTTGGTATGGACGCAGCTAATGCAGCTATTAACGAGCGGCAGGACCTTACTCTACCTACAGTGGCGCCAACTGGAGATGAATACGATAGCCCTCACCGACTGGGGTTTCAACTACTCTCTTTGGAGGGACGCTCTCAGTACTTCTCTGATCAGCAGAGCTGACTGAGCAGCGGCATGGAGCAGACCGTAACCCGCTACAACGGGGTCCTGTTGTACCAGGGCCACGAGGAAACAACCTCTATAAAAACAACTGGAAGAGGGGGATAGGAGATTCCCACGGGGAGAGTCCCACAGAACCCAATGGGCGGCATGGAGCAGGTCGTAACACGCTACGGCGGGCCGGGGGTCCTGTTGTACCAGGGCCACGAGGAAACAACCTCTATAAAAACAACTGGAGGAAGAGGATAGGAGGTTCCCACGGGGAGAGTCCCACATAGGCTACTGGTCGTCCTCATTGACGACGATAGGTTATACAAGGTGTACTCACAGGCTGTAGCGCCGGCTTGCCCACCAGCATAGGGTCTGTGGGCGAATGGTGCGGCGCGGCCGCCCTGAACGACGACATGGGCGGGAGCGGCAGCTCGGCCGCGCCGCCCGCCCCCGCCGCGCCCTCGCCGCCGCCCGCTATGCCTGCAAATATACGAGTGGATGTTAGTGTAACTGCAGTTGAAATCAAAAAATCAAAATCAAAAATATTTATTCAGTTCAGACCACAAGAGGCACTTATGAACGTCAAAATATAGTAATAAAATTAAAAAGAAAAAAGAAAAGGTAGCCCTTATGGGGCACTTTATATATCTCCTTATCTTTTGGGCCCTACGCCGGAACAAACTCAGTCACCACTAATTGCCAGGAATTATCTAACGGTAAGAATAACCAAATTCAAGTACATACATCAAATATGTGCAGACTGAACTGACCACGCATCCTTATCATCAAGAAATAATCATCAAGAAGGTAAGATAACCAGTTCCTCTGTGGTTGAGAATTCCGGGTGAAGCATCAGGTGATATGCTGGTCAAAACCTTCTTCGTTGTGGATAAAAAAACATGTAAATGATTTTGTTCAATTCAGATCAATATTCGGTACTTTGAACGCGCTGCAGTGGCACCACTGTGACCCGCTTGACATGTCACTACTAGTTTTTATACAATTTCTAGGGCAATTCCCCTGCAGCGCTGCCTCATTCGTGCCTCTATTTTGAAAGCGCCCTTACAATAAAGTAGCCCTTGAGGGCTTCAAGACAAACATTTGTGTCAAGTGTACTTGACTATACTACGAGTATGTCAAGAAATGCCGGAACAAACTCAGCCTTCAGCTTTCTGCGGTTACGGTACGGTTAAGCTGTAAATCCTGGCTACAGGAGTTTTGTTTGTCACATCCAGGTTCTGCATCCAGGATGTAACTACTAATGCGTTCAGTCTCACCTGGCGACGCTGTAGGCGGCGCCCCACTCGCCGCCAGCGTAGTACGGCTCCTGTAGAGCGCCCCGCTGTGACTAGCTGCGTGTGTGGGCGGCTCACCTGGCGACGTGGCGTAGGGGTCGTGCTGGTAGGGCGGCGGCGGCTGGTAGTAGGCGGCGCCCCACTCGCCGCCCGCGTAGTAAGGCTCCTGTAGGGCGCCCCGCTGTGAATCAAGCTACTGCAGTGGGCGGCTCACCTGGTGACTTGGCGTAGGGGTCGTGCTGGTAAGGCGGCGGCGCCGCGGCGGCTGGTAGTAGGCGGCGCCCCACTCGCCGCCCGCGTAGTAAGGCTCCTGTAGGGCGCCCCGCTGTGAATCAAGCTACTGCAGTGGGCGGCTCACCTGGTGACTTGGCGTAGGGGTCGTGCTGGTAAGGCGGCGGCGCCGCGGCGGCTGGTAGTAGGCGGCGCCCCACTCGCCGCCCGCGTAGTAAGGCTCCTGTAGGGCGCCCCGCTGTGAATCAAGCTACTGCAGTGGGCGGCTCACCTGGTGACTTGGCGTAGGGGTCGTGCTGGTAGGGCGGCGAGTGGGGCGCCGCCCGCGTAGTAAGGCTCCTGTAGGGCGCCCCGCTGTGAATCAAGCTACTGCAGTGGGCGGCTCACCTGGTGACTTGGCGTAGGGGTCGTGCTGGTAAGGCGGCGGCGCCGCGGCGGCTGGTAGTAGGCGGCGCCCCACTCGCCGCCCGCGTAGTAAGGCTCCTGTAGGGCGCCCCGCTGTGAATCAAGCTACTGCAGTGGGCGGCTCACCTGGTGACTTGGCGTAGGGGTCGTGCTGGTAGGGCGCCCCGCTGTGACCCTAGCTGCGTTTGCAGTGGGCGGCTCACCTGGCGTAGGGGTCGTGCTAATAAGGCGGCGGCGGCTGGTAGTAGGCGGCGCCCCACTAGCCGCCCGCGTAGTAAGGCTCCTGTAGGGCGCCCCGCTGTGACTAGCTGCGTGTGTGGGCGGCTCACCTGGCGACGTGGCGTAGGGGTCGTGCTGGTAGGGCGGCGGCGGCTGGTAGTAGGCGGCGCCCCACTCGCCGCCCGCGTAGTAAGGCTCCTGTAGGGCGCCCCGCTGTGACTAGCTGCGTGTGTGGGCGGCTCACCTGGCGACGTGGCGTAGGGGTCGTGCTGGTAGGGCGGCGGCGGCTGGTAGTAGGCGGCGCCCCACTCGCCGCCCGCGTAGTAAGGCTCCTGGTAGGGCGCCCCCGCGCCGGCGCCCTTCGGCGACGCGTACCGGCTCGGAGAGTCGTGGCCGAACTCATCGCTGCCGTACTGGAAAGGAGAGAGAATTCTGTTAGAAAAATGTGTTGCAAAAAGTCGTCTTGTATATTTAGTTCATGGTTTATTAACTAGAAGTCAATAGACCTTCATTTATTTATTTATTTATTTTATTGTTAGGAAAACAAACAGCATTCTATAACACATATATTTACCAAAAAGTCCTTCAGAAAGGAAGATGTAGTAGGAATAATAGAAGCGAGAGTTAGCATCAGGAAATAATTTTTCTACCTCAGATTTGTCAAACTACCAGGAAATTGTTTTACACTTTTCTGTTCACCTAAAAGGCAGTGTATTTATGTAGTTTTTATTAAAATCCCTAGCTGCAACTCCATCTATGATAGCATAATAAATAAAAACTTATAGTGACATTTTTATCTACAAACACAACCAGTTAAAACAAGACCCAAAAATGGAAATATTCAGTAATTGACGTCCATTTAGAGATCACGGCAAAAAACTGGCGGTATCATAGGTCGAGCACTTAATTGAGTCAGTCCCTGAGGTATGGTACACGCACGGGAGGGGTGGGATTGGCATAATGGCATTGAAGGAAACTTCTACTCGTGAAACATTACACCCTGATTATGCGAGGAAAAATTGATAGCCCGGCTGCTCTTAGCAGGATAGGTATATCGGTCCCAAAGCTGTGTGTGGACACTGACAGAGGCCTGGTGGCTCCGCGAAGACGCCCTAGGCTATTCAACGTGCCCGTGACGCGCACCCGCAATGCACAAAACTGCCCTACAATTAGAGCACTGACGTCATTAAATGCGCTTCTCGCGAAAAAACCTCATATTTACGTGTTTGTTGACAGTATGGCTCAGTATATTTTGGAGGTATACAATTTTCTGTCGCATAGTATTTAAGCACCTATTTATGTAAATCGTGTATTCTGTACTTCTGCCGCTGATGGACGTCTTGGGTAAAACTGTAAGTCCACAGTGAATTATATAAATAAATAAATAATATGACGTAACATAGAATACAAATCTAGTCTTCGGACATTTGACGTACACTCTGCAGTACCGCTCCCATGGCTCTGGCACTGAGTTATGAGCTAGATCTATAGAAAAATACTAATAATTTAATATTAATACTGTGCTGTTTTTAGTAAGACTGGGTCATAAGAGCTTGTACTAAACTTGTCCATAAATATTTTGGAAAAATAAATAAAACCTAGTTTATTTATTGAGACTAAAATAAGACCTATTAAAAAATTATTAATACGCTCCAGCCTGTAATGATGTTGATAGTATTTAATTATTATAATCATTTAATTAGGAGGTTTTACATTTTTTATAATAATTACTTTAACTAGCTTCTCGTAGCCTGTACCTACAGAGTGTCTAAAATAAAGACAAAATCTAAAAAAACTACTCCAATATGTAATCTCAATCTTTTTTACCAAGACATATCAACTTTAGTTTGACATCGAGATCATGACCACCCTATTATTTTTGGAACAAAAGATAGAAGAATATCAAAAATAAAAAATCTTCTCCCGGGTACAGTGTACTTATTATTTTTTCTTTCTATGTCCAATCCGACCGGGCAATGTGGAAATCATTGGGGCAGGCATTCAGCAAGGGACGTCCTGTCGCTAAAATGATGACAGATCCTTATAACCTATTTTAAACCAAAATTCATCGGTTCAGGGGTTGTCAAACAAACGGAGTAACTTTCACATTTATCTATACTAATATTATAAAGCTGAAGAGTTTGTTTGTTTGTTTACTTGAACGCGCTAATCTCAGGAACTACTGGTCCGATTTGAAAAATTCTTTCAGTGTTAGAAAGCTCATTTATCGAGGAAGGCTATAGGCTATATACCATCACGATATAATAGAAGCAGAGCTACAATGAAAAATGATGCAAAAACGGGTTTTCACGCGTACGAAGCCGCGGGCGCAGCTAGTATTATTAGTATAGATAACACTGATTACTGGTTTCAACACCCTGTAGGTGCAGCAATTATCTTTAATTCATCGTGCAAAAAGGCCGCCTTGCAACGACGCAATATGCAATATAAAATCATAAACTCTCTGTATAAGGCCAGAACTCGAAATGACTTCATTTGTACGAGCACAGATCGCTGATAAGTGAATATGTGGATATAGCACGTTGGGTAACGTAGGAAAATAAAAATGTTATAAAACCACAATTGGTAAAAAAATGCAAGTCAAACGCAGGAACACACTCACGCCCGTATTCACAAACGATGCTTGCTTAAGGCCCGATTCGACCAAACTTTTATCCGAGAATAACTCCTGGTATAACTGGCACATTGACAGGTTCAGTATGGGAAAATGTGAAAACTGACGATTTATTCTGAGATTAATATTTACTCTTGTTTGGTCGAATCCACCCTTAGTGAAGCAGCAAATCGAACGCACAGCGTTGAATAGAGCTCTGTGATTGGTTCGTGTGTCACCCTGTGCGACGTGCGTCCACGCGCACTGTGAGACCTCATATTAATGTTTGTGAATACGGGCAGCCCTGTTCATCTCCGCAATTTGTGTCAAATTCAATATGGTGATCGTTTTAGATGTGATTACTGTCACTTTAACCTTACAATTTGGCGTCAAATCTACGTACCGCTTTCTCAAGGAGAATTTATCAATAAATCATTAACTAATTTACAAAAATAACAATGAACCAATCGAATCACTGTTTCGTCACCCGCCCACGCAGTGTCTTCTCAAATGCAATAAAAGCAAACCGTTTTACGATCACAATAAAAATACATTATTGAGTGTGCCATAATTTTCGAATTTAACACTATAAAGTTTTAGTGTTCATAGAGATTTTAATAATTTGGCCCAGAGCACCCGAGCGAGTATAGACCAAATTCAAAATGTCTTTCTGATAAATTAAAAACATGGATAATTCCATGGATGCAGGTTGCTACCAACCGATTATTATGGAAATCATTGGGGGAGGAAGGTCTATGTTCAGCAATGGACGTCCTATGGCTGATATGATGATAATGATGTAATTAGAAAGAGTCGTTCTCCTGTAGTGGAGACTAAATGACCTGACGATGATGAAATAAAATGATAATGTTTTTGATGACAAGAAAAACGAACGGTCTATTATTTTATGAATGCAAGAAATTTTCTTAAGAGTTCCATTTACACCGCTTGTTTATACAACTGCCGATATCAATTTCAATACTGAAAACATAACGGAATTGCTTATTATATGATCCAGGATAATGGTCCAAATATAGAGCTTTATAAAATTTCCACGTATCCATGACGAATATATTAATAACAAATAAGAGATACGTGATTCAACGACCGTTCCCATGTACGCCGAGTCATCCTTCAAACGCGCTTCCTGTTGGATCTAGAGGATCGGGAATTTATGGTGTGGTCCAGGGTATGGGAAATAGCGAGGGCAAGATGGGAAGGGAACACAAGGTGCTCCGTGAGCTATAGTTTTTGAAAATTCTTTCACTGGGAGAAAGCTACATTATTTCTGAGTGACATAGGCTGTATATTACTGTGACAGAAAATTGATCAGACACAAATTGAAGCCTAAAGGTAGAAAGTTGTTCAACAAATATGCTAGACATTATTCTAGCCTAGACCTGACAGTTCCCTTCTTTCAATTCATCATCATCATTTCAGCCACAACAAGTAACAGTATAATTGTTATTGACGGGATTCACCCACCCGCCCAGTTCCTCAGTTACTCCATTATCAATGGCGCTTGCAACAGTATCGAAATATCGGAGACTAGATTTAAAGGTACATGTTAGTAATCCCAATTCAACTAAATGGGATCCTTCAAATCAGTTCCTGCATAAAAGGGATGTCTCAATAGGAAAGAGCCATAAGGTTACAAGAATTCGTGCGCTTCACTGCTTGTGAGTCTCTTATGCCTTGCGCCACCCAACAGGATATCGCGTCGCCTTTTTTCACCAATCTCAGCACATAACGGGAATCAAACCCTGATTAAAAGCTCGCCGCGTGAGAATTGTTGGCCTTGTGTTACTTCCTCTGATCTCATTGTGCCTTCATTGATCGCAGGTAAAGGATTTATATGCGAGCAGTCAGGATGAAAGATTTAACGGAAGTCTTATTGACAAACTTGCACAGGGTTGCCAACTCTACGTATTTTTACGTAGATCTACGTATTTTAAGCCTTCCTTGCAAACCTACGAACTTTAGTCCCAGAATCTACGTATGTATTTTCTATCAAATTTGCAAAATAGGCTGAATGGGCATCGTTTCCTTTACTTTCGCGAAAAAGTTCGATCATGGTTCCGATCACGGTTATTTGGCATGTGGCAAAAGTCGGAACTAATGTTATTTTGACATTTCCTCATAGAAAAAATGCTGTACAGCGCCCCCCTGTAAATGTCACTGACGCTATAAAAATATTTCGAACTGAGATTGTGCTAAGATTTCGAAGGTGTTGTTGTATTTCGATATTTTTCAACTTCCTTCCTTCTTTCCAACAAATATAATTATGTATAAATTTAATTTGTCTGAAAATGATACCCAATAAAAGTGTACTTTACTACTTTTAGGCTTAGCTTTTAGGGTAATATAAATTGTCGTTTTATTACTTTTACCTACCCCTACTCTCTTCATTTCACTCAGAAAAATTTCTACGTAATTTTCGATTCTGTCCTACGACTTTTTCAAAATCCGAGTTGGCAACACTGAACTTGCATGACTTTAGTTTGAAGGTAGGCTGTAGGTACTAATTGTAAGTTATACACATTATTAGTGAGTTCTGGCATGCAAAGAACAGATAGAACATCTGCTACATATTATAATAATCACATATGATTTATCACGTTGATGGAACTGAGAATCTATATCAAAACTGATTCATATTCGAAGAAATAGTAGTACAGTAGTTCTTTGGGGTTTTGACAGGTTTACTAACGTCTCCATGTCAGTTAGAGCAGTTGCCTAAAAATCTTAGGTTTAATTCCAGTCTGTGACGGGAAGATTTAGCCCATCAGCCAAAAACTTGACCTCTTTGTAACATTAGTGTAGAGAATACAGTAAAAATACATACAGTGGAACATAAAACCTTCTTTTTTGAAGTCGGTTACAAATCGATGCCGCAAACAAAGTTCTTTCTGCACATCCTATCCCGGTTCCCCCAAACCCTCTACATAGATCCCTGATCCCAAGATGGCGGGCCCGCGTCCCGTCTCCCGTTACCATCCATTAGTCGTTGTCAGGACTCCGGGGAACGGTGTCAGGTTACACACTCAGTGCTGGGAACGGTAGTTGAGAGATTGCCACTTGTGGAGTGAGGTAGGTATTTTAGGGTTTACTTTTATGGAATTTCTAGACATTGAATTTTGTTATGGTAGGTTTTGAATGGGTATTTCAGCTTTTTGGACCACATCTTAGAAGAAGAAGCGCGGGAGAAATTCAGTTTCCAGTCTTTATTAAAGAGCGCCCATTAGTAATTAGTGGACTTATTCCCAATACTTATATTCCCGGTAACCCCCTAGCTAATATAAAATTATTGGTGTTACGACTAGATTCAATACAATAGTTGAGCGACCGAAGGAGATTAAGCAATTTATTTATTTGCTTGTCACATGGCATGGTCATGGTCATGGTCAACTAGCATAATCTTCAATCTCGAATAGACACTCCGATGCCTACACCTTTAGGCTATCACCGTTAGGGTTTAGTTTTTACACATACCCTTGTATATGATATTCCAATATTATAATCATAATTGTCTACCTAAGTATTTTTATCCAAAACCCCTCAGATTCAAAAATCCCTCGCACAAACGGCTCACCACACAAATGAAATAATAAATATTTACAACCGAATTCATCTCTCCTGCCATAATTACATCACGGCTGAGCGTATATTTAGATTAGTTGTACTATTAATAATGACACGGGTGTATTATTGGCCGTGTTAGGGCGTGGGCGGCGACGGGTGGCGTAGCTAGCTAGATCGTTTCGAAACTAATTACCGATAGTAATAGCACAGAATAATAATAAGTACCACGTACAGAAGTTTTAATTCAGGAAGGTCTTTAAAAAAAATTATGCTCAATGTCATTAACAATATGGTGTAATTTAGCCTGTCTCAAGAGTCAAGCACCATTTTGTTAACAAACGTCAGTGATCGGCACTGCGCCGCAGCTATAGGGCTGACTTCGGTAAAATGATGTGACGTGAGGTGCCAAACTGCGGAAAATGGCGGAGAAAATACATGATTTAGCATGAATTATCATGAATAATATTAACTACTTATTTACCTCTCAGTGTCTTGAGGCAACTTAAAAAAGTACATTCTGTGTTTTTATTATTATTTAGGTAGTTAAATACTGCACAGTATTTAGTACACCATTTTCTTTATTTTCTTCCATCATACACAAGAAGAATATGCGTGCGTAGTCAATGTGAGGCCTTGTCGAATAGTATCCTGTAGGTGGGCCATCGTGCGTGTTTTGTTTTCGATGTAAACTCGCGGAGATGAACAGGCCTGGTAATAGTTCAAACTTGCAGTGCAAGTGTGGTTGTGTTTCCCAGTCCATGAAGCACATGATGTAGTGTCCTGCGTGCCCAAACAACTGCACGCAGGAAGAGTTTATAAACGCTACTGACAACGCCACTCTTGTAGCGGAGTTTTGGACTGACACTGTATGTAAGTCAGTCCTTATTTCTTTGGTACAATACAGGACTATTCCCACCTCTTGTTCCCACACCGCTGCAGCCAGGGTCTACAGCTTGACCGCCGACAACTCAACCAATGAAGGTCAAGTTTGTCCCGGGGGAAAGTTAAACTGTCATTGGAACCGCAACGAAATTAATCAGATGAACATAGGAGGAGTTCGAAGTAGTAACCCTTATAGTAATAATTACGGGGGATAGTAATGACTGACAAGGTAACTGGGATATGGTCATTAATTTCGATTCTATTTATTACAGATTAGTTGTCGCATACAAAAACAATGAAAAGACAGTATTGTTATGTAAGCTGCAAACTCTGGCTGTCCAAATAAACAATCAAGTGATATCTCCTTTGTCCTACTGTAGTAACAGTTAGGTCCGTATTACATAACGACGCTTAGAACGATTAAATCTCATGCACTTATTGAAGCTTTTGGATCAACTGCTTGCTAATTTACACCAATCACAGGGCAGACTCTATTGACTAAAATTGAATCTACTTTAGAGCATTGTTTTGAAATAGGTACAAGAAGCTAACAAGACGCTTACGGTTAACCGCCAATAAACACTAACCAGTGGAGGTGAAGTTTGTCCCGAGGAAAGTTTAGTGTGTTGGCCCTTGCTTCTCAACCAGAAAGCCAAACGCTGAGGGGGGAAACCGGCGAATAATAGAAGCTGCTGCTGATGTAACTATCCCGAGCTCTCAACTCTCAAAGGCGTTTGTAAGTTTTTTAGTTAGTAGTCCCCTCCATTTTGCCAGGGTGAGCCCTACCCACCTGACCCACTAGCCTGCCCCCTGGCAATTTAATACCATATCCTGACGTGAAAAAAAAAGTGGTAGTTAACCACTTCCAACTCACCCCGCTTTCTTGACTGGTAGCCGCCGGAGGCTGCAGCCCGTGTTCCTCGTTGTACCTTCTCCTCGCTCTATGCCTGAGCAGAGCGGACGCGTCCGGCTGCCCGAATTGGAACACATGATCGTCCTTCAAAAACACTTTATCACTAAAGTCCGTGTTGACGTACTCCTGCGCATTCTCCTTGAATACTTTCGCGAAGTCTGAATACTCCGATCGGCCGTCGAGGATCTCCGAAGAGAGCCGAACGGAGTCCGAAGTCTGGCGGAGATTGACGTCGGATTCTGGGCGATAGCTGTCGCAGATTTGGCTGAATGTGTTGAAGTATTCGCTGGCTAGGTCCGCCTTAGGTTGGTAATCGATGTCAGACACCGGAGGGGGGTCCGCGGGGAGGAACGTTGGGTCCATGACGTCATGCCGCAGAGCCATCATTTGAACTTGAACTTTTTGCACTTTGAACGCATCACTTTTTTTCTATTGCACTTCACTTAGAACTTGAGAGTTCTGTTCAGTTTGTTTGTATAGTTAAATATTTGGTGTAAATAATTTGTTTTGATACACTATGAAACTTTAACCTAGAATAGAAGTTATATTAATACCTATTTGTTTGATTGCATTCCATTTCGAGAAGTTATCTGTATCCATGTGCTAGTTTGGTATGATCCCTAGAATTTTTACTAAAGTATACTACTTAAAATATATTCCGAATTTGTAAGTATTAACTGTATTCTTGAGATGGACTTCGGTCCCGAAATTATTTGACAATCATTTTAGCAACGCTAAAAGCCTTTGAAAATGATCAGAGATCGGCATCTTTTCCCAAAAGACAATGATTTTTAATTTACCGACCGCATCCTAATCTCGCATTAAACCGCAAAACCATTATTCCTTTGGCTCAAAGGCCGACAAACGAGACCACCCCAGACACCATAAACAATACGTCAAATAAAAAAAATATGGGACATTTCTACCATACACCGATGGGAAAGAGTTAACCCTACTTCCGAGGCAGGTAGTTATTATGCAGCTTGCTACCGCGAATGTGAAATTGATTTGTCATATCTGACAGATGTCAGAGTTTGACATGTCAAGTGACGTCGACAAAGACGCAGCGCACAAAAGAACCTGCACAATGGTCAATGATTTTGTGCATGTGCAATGTGACAAAGTGACACACATTATTATAATGTAGATGCATTATAATTCCAATTCTGGTATTGGAATTTGGAATAGAATATAATTTATGTAAATATTTGAAAAGTGGTGTAAATCATTACGTCTGAAAACCAATACATACCTACTTACAACAGTATCGTTTTAGAAGAAGAAATTTTTAGAAGTTTTAGATAGAAATACAATTTTAGATAGAATAAATAATGCAATTCGCGATTCGTGCGGTCACTTTTCTTTCTATAGATATTTACGAATCCATCTATCGAAATGCATAATAATTATGAAACAGGGCACTTTTAAATTTTTTCGATGACCAAAAATGTATATCGCGTTTATCAAAATAAACATTTAAGTAGAGATACGAATTTACATTAAAGCAACTGAATAAACAGTTCCTTCAAAAATGTCTGTAACACAATTTTTTCACCTACAAAACATTATAAATTTTATAAATCATCACACTCCGAGTCATCGCGAAGCTTTCACGGGATACAGAATCAAAAATTTCAATTTAAATTTGCAAAAACTTTAAAGGGACCGTACAAAAAATGGTCGTACGCGCATTGTGTAAGTCTAAGTTATAAAGATCTATTATTGTCAAATCGACTCGCGCGCAGGTAAGAGCATACCGGCAGTGCGGAATGCTCGCATGATGAACAGATGTTTTTGGACTTGAAAAACAACTTTGGTGGACCGATTAGTACGATATTTATAGATGAATTTTTAATACGAGGTGTTTGACATTGGATGGATGTAAAATATGATAAAGAGTAATCGCTAAATTGACATACTTAAAGACTTAAAAAGAAATCTATAATACTACAGCTTGTATTTTGTGTTAGAAAAATATCATTTTGATGAATTTATTCGGTCCTTAATACAAAGTTTTTCAAAAACTTTGGAATCGGAATTTCATGTTTGTGAAAACTCCTTAACCCTTAACCAGGCTCAAAAAAAGTAATTGGTTTTCAACTGTATCATCTTCACAGCATAAAGTTCAAATTGATGTACTTTCTATGGCCACCAGAGCCTGGTTAAGGGTTAATTTTCAGAGATCGCATTAGACAACGAAAGTGGAGTACTAATTTAATTAGTCTACACAAATAAAGATAATTTTGATTTTGAAAGTTTCAAACAGTCTGTCTAAAAACCTAATAACATTTTTGTACTCATTTACATTAAAACTACTATGGTTAAAATGGTGAAGCCTCCTAACCGTATCCTTCATTCGATACAAAAACTGACTAGCTCGATTCGGGCTTTTCTTGCGAACGCGACGCGATCGCCCGGTGACCAAATGACATCATTTCGTCGAACTCTGACTACGGCTTCCCTCACACCTTGGGGGCGTATTGTGTTACTGACTGAAGTCATTGCACGATCTGGGGGTCATTCATGTCCTTGACACTTAGCCTGGGTTGCACCACCATGTTTTTTAACGTCGGGAAATGCTTTGCGGAAATGGTCGATATGGACGGCCAGTGGGTTATGTGGGACTCTCCCCGCCTGTCTACTAAAGGCGGGGCCTACCTTTTTTTTTTTTTTTTTTTNTGACGATCAGGCCGAAGGTGGAAGCGAGCTTCACCCGGAATCCTCAACCACGGAGGAACTGGCTATCTTACCTCTTACTGCCGGAACACAATAATGCTGTGAACATTGTTGTTATGGCGACAGACTTAGGTAAGATGGTGGTAGCTAGCCAGGCGGACTTAGAACAAGCCCTACCACCAACCAAACCGAACAGAAAAATCTGCCCCCACTGGGAATCGAACCCGGGACCTCTGCGTCTGAAAGCAGGTGGTCTTACCACTAGACCACAGAGGCGGTTAAAACCCGACAGTGTCCACCGGAGCCCAAAGAAACGGAGCCGCGAGTTATTGTCCTAGCTCGAACATTAGTCCGCAGCTCCGTCTCCGGCTAGAAGTTCGCTCACGAGCGCGTCTCTCCGGCTTCGAGGGAACCATTCTCCACCATAGTTAAACCATAACAAACGTCGAAAGTCTGTCAAACTCCATACAACAACACTGGTTATTAGTCACATTTAAAGTAAAGTGGTGCAACTCAACCCCCGGTGCTGAAGTCCCCACAGACAAAATCAAACATCGGTTGATTTTTAAGCATGCTCATTAACTCTACTAGCAATGTAGTGACACGCGTGCTACTAATGGGCACTTGCTCAATAAAAGTATGCTTTTGTGCTTAATACTGAGCACGTCTGTCCTTTATGCTCAAAAGGACTAAATAGTAAAATGCCTAATTCTCAAAAGGACTAACTCGCAAAAACACAAATTCCCGACTAATCATCAAAACACTAAGTCCCGCTTGCCAAATGATCATCCCACCAGTCATTTCGTTGAGCCAGCTTCACACCGTCTCTCGCCCGCTCCGGGCGTCGAATCCCACACCGCGGTGGTCGCCACCGGCGTGGCGAAACCCGACACCGGCGATCAGCTGATTGAACTCGCTGAGTGGGTATCGGTGGTGTTTTATAAACACTGCTTTTTATATTGCAGACTACTTGTATAAAGTTTTATATACAGCACATAGGCTAGGCACAGTGGCCTCTTATTTAGTTACAATAAATCGATTATGCACCGAAAATGTATGGTCTGACTGATGTGATCAATCTTAGGGGGCGTCCATTAATTACGTATGACTTTTAGGGGGGGAGGGGGTCCAGAAAAACCTCACTTAATCTCATGTGGGGGAGAGGGGGGTGTCGAAAAATATCACGTATTTTTTTCCACAACAGACAGAGTAAATCCTCAGTCTGCATTTGTGAACACAGGCCCAGTTTTTAGATCCGCAGTTTGCTACCAATGCTTAAATATTAACAATATGTAAACTAACAGTTAAAAATTCTACTAAAAGTTATTTTTTTTACGCAGGTCGGGTTTTTTTATAAAATCTAATATTTTCGAAGCATGGATTATCTCATTTACATTGCAAATAGGCAAATTTTCGAAAATCTCACGTGAACTTAGGGGGTGGGGGAGGGGATCTGGCAAAATCTCATGAAATCTCACCAAGGGGGGTGGGGGGGAGGTTAAAAATAGCCAAAATTGTCTGATTTTCCCCCTTAAACTAAAACTTGATAAAATCGATTCCAAGTCAAAAAGGTCACAAACACGTCTTTGTTACAAATTGGAATAAGGATGTGTTGTCAACTTTTATAGTTACGGTCCAAGCTTGGTGGTGCACTCCAGCCCTAAAATATTGCATTTGTAATGTTTCTTCTCAGTACTGGCCCGCATTACTGTCTCGAGGCAGAGGTGGGGTTAAATTACTCAAATTGGGACGAGTAAAGGAGCTTTTTGAAAGCTTAATTGTACGTTGAAAGTTAAAAAATACTTTCATTACGCAAGCTTATTAATGGTAATTTTACTTGGCACTAAAGAAAAGCATATTAATATTGAGAAATATTTGTCTAAATGTTACAAATGCGAAAGTCTATCCCTCTGTAATGCTCTATGTTATTGTCAAGATATAGAGTTCTAGAAGAAGAAAGTAAACTACCATAATATTATATGTATGTCGAAAACGAATCGTAATAACCTAAATATGCCCAGTGAGTCGTGTTTTGACCCGTAAAACAGGTTCTGGACAACGTGCGAATTTGTGAACAGAAACGCAACGTGAAAAAAAAGAAGAGAAGGTAACTGTAACATTCCTTTCGTGAACTTACCTTAGGTTGCTCTATCCTTTATCATAGGTATTCTGTGCAACTAAGCCAAAAGTATGATATCACAAAAACAACGGCGCACGAAATTAAAAAGACTCCACAGTTTTTCGGTCGTTTGGTGTAGTGGTTCAGAACGGACTACTATGCCGAGAGGTCCCGGATTCGATTCCCGGCCGGGCATAATTTGAAATGATGAATTTTAATTTCAGTGACGGGTCTGGGTGTTTTCTATGTATAATATGTAATTATGTACCTATGTATTTACATAAAAAAAAGTATTTAAGTATGTTTATATCCGTTGTCTAGTACTCATAGTACAAGCTTTGCTTAGTTTGGGGCTATCTGCGCAGTGTAAAATGTCCAAGGATATTTATTTATATTTTATATTTATATTTAATAGTTCTCACAAGATCGCCAATCTATATATATAAAAATGAAACCCGTTTCGCGTTGTCACGGCATCACGTGTGAACGGCTGAACCGATTTCGATAATTCTTTTTTTTTAATGTTTGTGGAAGTCCAAGGATGGTTCTTACGGAAAAAAATATTAAGAAAATCTCTACGCTAAGGCGGTACGAAGTTCGCCGGGTCAGCTATTTACTATAAAGTACCAACACGCTGTTTACATTAGCAGCTAGCACATGTTCGGCGAGCGACGACCCCGCGCGAGCCTCGGCCTTCGGGCCATCTGCCGGCACACGTGGGACACACTTGACAGG